CACTTTAAAAATTCCTGAAATTTAAAAAAAGGCATTTTTGACAAAGAAATACTAGATTTTGCCCACCCTCTGTCAATAAACTGATCAAAGGGTTGTTGGGCTCATTCAAGAAGTTACAACATTCACATTATTTCCTAATCTAACAAAAAAACAAGTGTATTTTGTGGAAAAGCAGTGGAAATGTGTGCTGTTTGGATAAAAATTGCGCAACTGTTTAAAAAACATTTTTGAAATATCCTTTTTTTGCTATTAATAAGCTGCTTATGTGTGTTTTTGATTTATGCAATAAATGTCAACCCTTAAAAATTAATAAACTCAAAAAAAACCTCACCAATTGCTCCAATTAAGGATCAGGATCTGCAGGAAACACTTCACTCGCGCACTTTTCAACTTTAATTCACTCACAAACAAAAATTAATAATCTCAAAAAAACCTCACCAATTGCTCCAATTAAGGATCCGGAACTGCAGGGAACACTTCACTCGCGCACTTTTCAACTTTAATTCACTCACAAACACTTTAAAAATTCCTGAAAATTAAAAAAAGACATTTTTGACAAAGAAATACTAGAATTTACCCACCCTCTGTCAAGATACCTAGTGATCAAAGAGTGGTTGTGCTCATTGAAATAAATAACAATTCACTTGTTTATTAGTAAACAAGAAATAATTGAAAATGTGTCGTGTTTTGCTATATATTAGGAAGTAAGCTTCGGTGACTTACGCACCTAACGCTTTCACTTGTTTTACTTCATCTGTAATCCGGTCCTGCATGATGCACTCCACTGTGGAAACATACCAATTCACTTGTATAAAATTCTACATGTTAAGTGTTCAAATCAACCAAAATTTCTCATGTAGGTATTACCCGAACAAATGCTTCAGTAAAAATGAGAAGGATGAGCATTTCTGTTCCCCTTAAAGTGTTACTAAGGCGATACCTATGTCCGTAATCTACCAATAACATAACTGCAAAAGTGAACAAACACAAATACGAAGAGGGGTTTCTTAATTAGCTACGATTGCGAGTGGTCCATGAAAAAATTTACCTACTATTATTATTGAGTAAACATTACTACGCAAACTGACTCCCTTACGATACCGCAAGACGGATGGGGCTTCCATTTAGTTTCCCTTACCCACCAGCAAATGGGCCACTTAAAAAAAAACACTCGAAAAAACAAAAGCGTAAGATACTCCGATACCCACTTTTTACAAAAAATGATAAAGGCACATACCTCTGCAACTCGCTGTTGAAGTAATCTCGGAAAAAGGCGAATGAAGAAGTGCTCGTAGTTCCTGGAAGCGGCCGCGTAGATATTTTTCGCCGTATTTTGGATTTGAGCTATAATTGCGAGTATATATTTGTTATTGAAGGGGGTCGCACAACGTAAACACTGCAGAGAACGCCATTCTCGTCCGATACAAATTGCGTGTCTGATAAGTTTTGCAAAACGTAACGCCAAAAACAATGGCGAGCATGACATTGAAAAATAAATACGCGATGGGCCCTTTTTGTATCGGCGAATATGGCTTCCGCGCTTGTTATCATGCAAAAATAATGTAAATTACTTACCTACCCCCAGGGTAGTGAAGGGGTGAAGGTGCAATTGTTTAATCCCGCAATAATAGGCACGAAACTTCCAACTTTCCGTTCAAAACACAACAGCTTCAAAGAATACGCTTCGTTATCACTAGCGTCAACGCCACCTGTTGTAATCGAAGTTAATCTCAAGCCGTGTTTACACTGCAACACTCACACTTTTGATTTGATATTTTTCTTTTTCATTGCGGACGTTCGTTTTAATGGGGTATATTTGTTGTTCATAGCACGTAGTGGTAGGCTAATCCTCTTTACGTTACTTTCCGGATTTGTTTACCTCAATACTGAAACAAAACCGCTATATCTAAGCGGATTCGGCACATTTCGAGCTTAAGGAATTGATAAAATCCATTTGGGTGGCTCAAAACCATGAAATAAACAAACTTTCACCTCCAGGGCCTTCGATACCTTTCATGACTTCTGCTTTCAATGTTTTGAAAAGTTTAAAACAGTTTTAAAAAGCCTCCCCACTGAACCCATTAAAAGTTTTCATTAAAACACCCCTTTAATGAATACATTTAGGAGTCATTGACATTTTGCAACCTTTAAGAAACGCTCAAGAGGCTTTTTAGAGGAATCTGAAGACTAAAATGATTCTCAGAGCTCTGAAAAGTCCCCCTCTTCGAATCTTCTAGGTTTTAAATGTGTATTTTGACATGTTTGGTTTTTGTGACTTTCAAAATTTCAAAACCTCAACCTCAAAACCAGTCTTTAGAGTTCGTGACCTTTGGAGCCTTTGAGTCGTCATACCTTTGAATCTTCTAGCCTTCGAGATTCGCGTCTTTGAACCTTTGAGCCTTTGAGACTGAGAGTTTGAACTTGTCTTGTCTTTTGGTACTTCGGGTATACGAGTTTGCTTCTTCGGATCGTTGAGTCCTTGGATTTAAAAACCTTTAGGTGTTCGAGTCATTGGGTCTTTGGTTTTTGTGTTTTTGAATGCTTGAGATTTGGAGCCCTTGAAGCTATGAATCTTAAGGTTTTGAAGCCCATCAGCTTTAAGGATTTCAGTGTTTGGTACTGTGTCTTCAGTCTCTAAGCCATTGAGCCCTTCAAGTCTTTGGGACCTTGGGTTTGGGCCTTTGGATCCAGTCATGATGCCCATATACACTTTTTAAATACTCAAAAAGCGGTTAAGAAGCCTTTAAAATTTTCAAGTGACCTTTGAAAGCATTTAAGAATCTTCAGGAGCTGCAGTACCTTTTAGTGCTCTTTAAATCCCTTCAGTGTTTATGCCCTTGAGCCCTTCAAATCTTTGGGACCTTGGATTTGGGCCTTTGGATCCTGTCATGACGCCCATATACGCTTTTTAAATACTCAAAAAGCGTTTAAGAAGCCTTTAAAATTTTCAAGTGACCTTTGAAAGCATTTAAGAATCTTCAGGAGCTGTAGTACCTTTTAGTGCTCTTTAAATCCCTTCAGTGTTTATGTCCTTGAGCCCTTCAAGTCTTTGGGACCTTGGGTTTGGGCCTTTGGATCCAGTCATGATGCCCATATACACTTTTTAAATACTCAAAAAGCGTTTAAGAAGCCTTTAAAATTTTCAAGTGACCTTTGAAAGCATTTAAGGATCTTCAGGAGCTGTAGTACCTTTTAGTGCTTTTTAAATCCCTTCAGTGTTTATGCCCTTGAGCCCTTCAAGTCTTTGGGACCTTGGGTTTGGGCCTTTGGATCCAGTCATGACGCCCATATAAGCTTTTTAAATGCTAAAAAAGCGTTTAAGAAGCCTTTAAAATTTTCAAGTGACCTTTGAACGCATTTAAGAATCTTCAGGAGCTGTAGTACCTTTTAGTGCTCTTTAAATCCCTTAAAAGGCTATGAAAATACTTAACATCTGAACTTTGGAGAGCCTTTTAAACCACTTACACTCTTTAAAGATTTGCTAAATACATTTAGAGGGATCTAAGCGTCGCTATTCGTTTCCAAGGAGTCACAATAGCCTCTAACGGTCTACAAGTTTCCTTAAAGGTACTTCTGGAGGCTTTCATGAGCTTTTAAATGCGTTTGTGCTTTTCCAAAGGACATCAAGAGCCTTCTAAGAGTTTGGGCAGCCTTTTACTTGCCTTGGGACTGTTTGAAAGATCCTTGGACCTTTAAAAGTCTGTAATTGTGCTTTTTGGAACCTCTAACTGCTTTACAGTGTTAGATATTTGAAGTGTCCTTCAAACTAATAGCTGCTGGGCATAACCCAAACGAGGCTGCAAATCAAACAAGGCCCAATAAAATCCTCAAGAGGGCCAGCAAGCCCAAGGCGATAAGCGATAAGAAAATGAGTCTTTAAAAACCTCCATGAGATTTTGATGGCCCCTAAGAAACCTTGCAAATCGCCTTCAGTTTCGAAGGGCCTTGCGAGATATTTAATGTTCTGGGGTCTTCCTTCTTGATTACGATAGGAGGGTGGACGCGTACCTAGGCCTCAAAATTGGACCCTTTGTACTACTTCCCTGACTAGAATCGATCGACCCCTCAACGTCACTCAAGCCATCCCACACGTGAAATGAACCTAAGGATGCTGGAAGGGGAGACGGCTCTAATCGTAGACAGGATACTCCAATCATGCATCGACTCAGTTGGGTTAGAGCGACATATTCAAAAAGTATATGGTGTGTCGTCTTATCGTCTGTGTAACATCCCCTACCTACAAGATGGTGATTCTACCAAACGCATGGTGAAATTCGGAGTATTTTTACAGTGACCGAGTGCCTCCAGGGCAGCTTTGCACATTTCTCGGTTGCTCGGTTTTCTGCCACTGAGCAACTTCCTTAACGAAACGTCTTCGTGGCTTAAGCCAGATGGAACAATCCGTTTCTGGCACTTCACTTATTGTCGATCGTGACGCTTAGACAACGCTCGGCAACGATTTTATTCTGTACCGCCATGACATTCTTGTACTTCAAAACCCAATTCCTCCCGGATTAGTCCCTACCCCTCTTTTTAAATTTCGTGGCGCGCCCAAAATGGCGCGGATTGATTGACACGGCCATCTCTGACAGAAATTAGTTATGGTCCTGGACAATAGCTCCATTAAACCAATTTAATTACAAGAAAACAGATAACGCTGGTCGATTTAAAAGGAGGAGTTCCTGCAGGTTTGTCGTAGTCCAGAACCTCAAAAACCTGTAAGGGGTTATGGAATAGATTGCAAAGCACCCGTGAGAATAGGAGCAACGTTAATAGAGAGCTGTGGGCGAGTGGAAATTGGAACAGACCTCTTGGTGAGTATGTGGAAAAAAGTGCCTCACGAAAGTTTCATGAGGCAAATCTACTAGTTGTTTACCAACGGAAATCTACTGATTATTCATGACCTTGCCAACACAAAATTTATTATAATTGTTTAATCTACGTCTCTTCGTAGATTTTTATGTACGTGTGACCGCGCCATTTCCCATTTGATGATCAGGTGAGAAGAAAACAAGATCATTTGGCAATCAAATTTAAATAATTATGAGAGCCAGATCCACCAAACTAGGTCTGGCGAAACAAACTCGTGTAGGTATATAAGATGGCCGTGGTTCACTTATCGAGAAACTCAAAATGAAGATCTTCGACGCACGGGATGAGTATAAGAAGAATAAGGAGTTAAGGGTGGAGGATGTGAGGGCCCTGCAGGAGTGGGTTGAAAAGGAACCGCACATGCCACCCATTTCGGGTAAGTGTTAAATTGGGTTTAGAAACGCAGAAATCGATGGACCCTTCCAGAGTGTCTACTGATCGCTTTCATGCAAAGTTGCTATTGGAGCATGGAGCAGACCAAAGCAGCGATTGAGAAGTTCGTGACGTGGCGAGCCGCCTGGCCCGATTTGTTTGCGGCCCTGGATCATCATCTAAAATCGATTGATCAACAGTAATAACGGTTAATTGATCTCCAATTTTTGTCATCCAATTTTTTTCCAGTCTACTGACGATTTTACCGATGGAATCTAAGAAAAGTTACAGGCTTCTCTACTATAAACTAATGATCCCAGACTCTGCTCGATTTATTGCAACGGATCTGGTAAAACTAATGGATATGGTTGTTGCAATGGATGTAATGGAAAAAGGCCCATATGGCGGTTTGATATTGGTTTGCGATTTAACCGACTATGATTCAGCGTCTATCCTCAAACTGAGGGGCACAGAATCGAGACGGTTCCTGAAATATCTGCAGGAAGCCGTACCAGTTAGAGTTAAAGCCATACACTATATTATCCCAGGAAAACACCTCGAGTTAATAATTACTTTGGTAAAACCCTTTCTGAACCGAACACTCCTAGGGAAAGTAAGTACGCTCCACGCACAGCACCACCAACCCATTTCTTTTAGCTGCACTTTCACGACTCTTACGAGGCGTTATGCAAACGCATCTCCCAGGTTGAGCTACCTAAGGAATTTGGTGGGAAAAAACCAACTCTTAAACAATTGCACGGTTGGCAACCACAAGCTGAACGAAAACTGACCCTCTATCATTTCATTTTCAGAAAATATGAAGAGATCTCTGGCTGAGAACGTGGACTTCATCAAGGACGTGGAGAAACTCGTAGCAAACGAAGCGCTACGAGATCGAAGTAATTTATCGGTTGATTCAGAGCTGGGCCTGGGGGTTGGGGCGCAGGGATCGTTTAGAAAGTTTAACGTTGAGTAGACAACAGCTCGCACTTTTGAATTATTAAAAGTGTAGCCTCTAATTCCAAATGCCCAAATACTCCTATATTAGTTTTCTTCTTTAGTGCGGGAGCTCATGTCACGTGTGCAGTTGTATGTTCCCTAAGTTTTTGAGCGGTTCCTATTGGAGCTTAGAAAAACATTGGTCACGTGATCGAAATAATGGTCGTTTGGTCGCCATATTTAAAAATGGCCGGCACGTTGCTAGATTTTTTGTTTAAGTATATCTTCCTACACAATGCTTCGATTTTAATTATTTAAAGAAAATTTTACTGATTTGAAGGCAAACAACATGAAATAGCTTCATTTTATGTGAAGATTGTGTTACGTTCTTTTTGTTCTAGTTTTGTTTTAGTATAGTATTCTTGCTCTTATTCATATTCTTATGTCATATGGGTATCTTCTTTGTAATCCACTAGTTTAGATGTAAATTGTTCCTGTAGTAAATTTGTTATTATCTTAGTATACGTTTCTTTCTCATAGTTCTTGGTTTTGCCGACGGAGGTCGTGCAGAGTATAATTTCTTTCGGCACACTTACTTCTCTTTTATAAAAATGAGAGAAGAATTGCATTACAATACATTACAATATTGCGCAAGGAAGGTTCATTTGGGGAGGTCCACCGGCCATCTTATCAATTGAAGAACGCCATAGATCATAAGAATATTGTAATTATCTAATTGCAACACTTGTTTGCCTTCAAAAAATCAATAAAACTTTCTTTCTGTGGGGATATATACTTAAACAAAAAATCTAGCCATGTGGGGGACATTTTTAAATATGGCGACCAAACGACCATGATTTGGACTATGTGACCATGAATATCTACTAGTTGAGGGGGTTCTAGTCAGGATAAAACTTCTTAAATGATCCATCGATCCCCAGCTCTAAGTCTGGATCCACGCAAAGTTGCCGCCGATCCCGTAGCACCTCATTGGCGACCAATTTTTCCTCGTCGCCAAAAAGATCGGCGCTTTGAATCAGAGATCTTTGCATGGCACCTGAAAGTGAGGCCTGTTTATTAGGACAGCCAGAGAAGGGTTGTACTAACCGTGTAACTGCGCCAGACCGGGACCTTCCCCTCCCACTTCCTTGGGGAACAACTCCCGTAGACAGTACCTGAACAGCGCCTCTTCGCCTTCCAAAAAATTAGCGCTTTCAGTGAGCGAGCTTTGCATAGCTTCTGAAAGTGAGACCTGTTTATTAAGCAACCTTGGGCGGGGGGGGGGGGGGGGGTAGGTGCTAACCGTGTAACGGCACCAGACCGGGACCTTCCCCTCCCTTCCTGCAGATCGAAAAGTTTCATTTTGTTTGGAACCGACCTTGAGTACTCTACGCCTTTTGTACTCCCCTTGATCCAGTGATGGGAATTTCACATGACCATTCAGTTTTGATCTTCATGGCCCATTAAACTTGTTTTTACCACGAACCACCAGGATTGTTAAAAAAACTCGTTACCTATTTTACGTTTCTACGTTCTTCTTTTTAGTTTCAGCGCATGGCTAATGATTGACATGGCAAAAAACCTTTTTCTTGTGGATCTTTGGCTTGTTGCAACAGCTTGCTACGATAAAGGGGATGAAAAGCCCTTGGTCTAACGTATTTACCTTCTCCTGACAGCCTATAGTTCGGCACAGGCAACTGTGGTGTAGCCCGCCTCATTTAATCTCCTCAGAACCCCGTCTAGCACCAAACACCGCAAGAGCGAAGAGGGAACTACCCCCTGCGAGTACCCTCGTGCACTCCGAACCACTACAGAGTCGCTATTGAGCGAGGCTGCAATGATGCTGAGTTTTTTAGCATGGTAGAATGTACCCCCTTGCTTTCCATAGCAGTTTTAATCGATTCTAGTATTGTCAAACGCCCCCTCTATATCTAAAAACTCCCCTCTTACAGAAGATCGACCTTTCAGCGACATCCACTACTTCATGGAGAGTAAGCTCCCATGATTTTCGTGGTTGTCATTGTGTTTACTGATGGGTTTGGGCCTTAGGATCTCATCTCTTATGTGTCGTCGCTCAATCAGCTTTTCCACTAGTTTTACGAGAAACGACCAGATGAATACGACCCTTACGCCCCTCCACGCCATAGGTTAAGGTATGCATTCCAGAGCAAAAGTAGTAGTATAGTGTCGAGGTAGCACCTTGTTGCAGTAGAGCAGGAAAGATTTCATCCATCCCACAAAGTTTGGTTAGGTTCACTATCATAGGAGCCAAAACCCAATCTCCCCTGTTCCCCCTGAGCAGTGGTTCCAGAGTAATTGGTTCGCCCGGAAAGTGTATTTGAACCAAAAGCCGCAAGGTCTCCTTTGCGCTTTCTGTATAATCCCTCCATGGGGTCCGGCATCTTCTGGAATTTGTTCAATTTCCTCGCAGTACCTCCTCCACGAGTCACGTTTTGCCTTACCTATGACCTTAATGTATTCGGTGAGTATGGTTCAGTGTGCGCCCCCACTCTCCCGTGTTTGCTCTATTAAAAAACCTTTGTGCGCAATCGAGAGAGTCCTTTATTTGAGTTCCTTTCTCCACAACAGAATTCCCATAGCGGTAGAAACGCTATTCCTAGCTAGGGATTGATTTGGGTTGGTTTAATAATGTTCTGCACTTTTTTCAGTCACAGACCTCGTATTAGCCCTTTGTAGGTTCAAGATTCTTGCACCAATATGATGTTTGGTGCCTAGATGCCTAGAGAAGTGCCTACTGAAGTGGGGTGGTTGGCACAGTTGGTTGTGGTTCCCCTGAGTTGGTCCCTCAATTAGTGTAGCCTCTTCGCATTCCATTCTTGTCACCATCTCTGCCTCCACAGAATCTGGAACGTCACCCTGGTAAAGTTCGCATAGGCTCCATGGTTGCAAGCGGCCTCCATCTTGTCCCAGGAAGTTTGGCTTATAAGGATAACCAAAGTTTGTCTCCTGGGGTCCGTCTTCCTGCCTACCACACCAATTGCTGGTTATTTTGGATTTCGATGCCTTTCATAACCTTTCTGGGTTCAACCGGAGTCCCGGGGGTGTACCCTTCGCTTCGACGAATCGATTCGTTCGTCTCCCTTAACGTTCCGATTTCCATTTACCCTTATATCAACGCTACGTACTTACAGATTCGTTTCAAGACGATTTGCTCACCCAGATGGCGGCCATTTTGTTAGGAAGTTACGCGAAAGCAAGGGCGACCCTTACTCAAGCAGTAATCGAAACGGGCATTGGGATCCCTAGAAAAATCTACTGGGATTAAAACAAGTAGTAGTTAACTGAATAGTTCCTCTTCAAGGAACCGTCACTTTAAGTTCTGATATATGAGCGGGAAAAGTCCAGTCGTACCTTTATAATTTTTTTTCGGCACAATACCAACTTTGTACCTTTTTCTCTCCGAGTTTATAGGTAAATATTAATTTATTACGATGGGAAAATCCTTTTAATGCTTTACACAGTTACAAGGTGAGTTGAGTGTCCTTCAAGAATGTAGGTTCGACTTCTCATCGAACCGAAAAGCTCGCACACTCGGGTTTTCCAACGCCCATTTGATTTGCATCTATTAAAAAGCCTACTAGTTTGAGCAGAACACTAAGATCTAGTGGCGGAGGGTTTCTACTCGGTATAGAACCTTTTAAATGATCCATCGATTCCTAGTTCTAAATCTGGATCCATGCACAGATGTCGCCGATCGCGTAGCGCCTCGTTGGCGACTAATTTTTCCTCGTCGCCAAAAAGATCAGCGCTTTGAATCAGAGATCTTTGCATGGCTTCTGAAAGTGAGGCCTGTTTATTAGGACAGCCAGAGGAGGGTTGTACTAACCGTGTAACTGCGCCAGACCGGGACCTTCCCCTCCCACTTCCTTGGGGAACAACTCCCGTGGACAGTACCTGAACAGCGCCTCGTAAGAGTTATGGAAGTGCAACTGAAATTACTGGTTTAGCACGTAGTTGTCGATGGGCCACTTACGGATTGCGACAATCCTTTTTTGATGAATGGTTTCACCAATGGTATAAATAACTCCTGTATACCCGTGGGGACAATCCAGTGCATACTCGTTAACCTCACCGGTAAGGCGTCCTACAGGATCCGTTAGCAAAACCTTACACTTAGCCCTTGAGCATACCTGCATGTAGAGCAGATACCTTTTCGTGTCCCGTACGGAAGTCTTCGCCAGATGACTTGCTTCCACTTTCGTTGTATCACACACCACCACCATATCATCAAAGGTGCCTTTCTCCATCAACTCCAGTGTGATGACCATATCGAACAATTTAATCGCGGCTTTTGGGTTCAACGAGGCGGAGTCTGGCACCAACATCTTCATGTATAAAATTTTGGAACCATCAGATGCCTTCGTTGGTAAAAATGCCATCAAACTTAAAAGTAAGCTGTGAGAAAAGCAATCGAGGTAAATGGAGGGATTACTGTTGCGACATCTCCTGTATTATTTCCGGTTGGAGCGGGTTGCAGCCGCCAAAGAAATCTGCCCACGCTGCTCTGCAGGTTACAAATTTTTCAATGGCGAGTTTGGCCAACTCTAAGCTCCAATGCCATCGGTGTAAGAACAGAATTAATCGGTGTTCTAAAACAAACGAATAAAGATCTAAAAACAGTGCGTGATTGAACAAACCGGAAATTTGTGGCATGTGCGGTAACTTTTGGGCCCATTCTTGCAGTGCTCGAATGTCCTCGGCTCGCAGGTCCTTGTTTTTCTTATACTCTTCCTGCACATCGAAGAATTTCATTTTGTTTTGATCCGGCCTTGAGTACTCTACGCTTTTTGTACTTATCAGCGAAGTAGATCATATTATGGGAATTTCTCATGACCATTCAGCTTTGAATTTAATAGCCCATTAAACTTGTTTTTTTGCCACGTGTCACCAGGGTTCTCTAGAAAACCATACTTTGTCTACGTTCTATTTTTCTGCCCTTGTAGGTTTACTATCACGGGCTTCAGACGAAAGAATTAAAGGGCTATTTGTCTATGAGGTCTTCTCTCCATACTCGATCGACAACTTTTTCAATGCAAGCGATATCGCAACCGTCGTATTTCCGCAAACGTGATGCTCCCTGCCACATGTAACGCAGCGAGGGCCAAAGCTACAATTCATGCTAGAGTGGCCAAAGCGTTGACAATTAAAGCACTTTGATACCATAGCAATACATAAGTTCTCCCATGTTACAAATTTCTGATGCACCGGGTAGATTTTTGAGGGTCACGATGATATTCTTACCTTCCCCTTGAATCCGAGTGACGTACCTAGGTGTAAAACCGCGATCCATCAGCTCATCACGAATTTCCTCGGGATTTACCGAGGGCGAGGAGGCCTTGATAGCCACTTTGATAACACGGTCTGCAGGCCGAGTCACTGAGTGTACTTATGCAACCAGACACTCGTACGTAGTTTCTGCAATAATCCTCGCCCCATTCCCGACGACCTTGAAAACACGTCATCAGGAGGTGCCGTTTCTATGACTCGATCGGCGACGTCTTGCGACGATTATTGCCGATTCTTTTTGTCTTGTCAGATGAATCAGTTTCCATTAGAAACGGTGCGGGATCAGAAGCTTCTCCGGTTAGAGAAGTATTTTCGGGGGTCGCACTTATATTATATAGCGCACGATTTCGGCCGAATCCCCCACTACCCGTATTGCATGAGGAACCATTCATTTTCACCAAAAAAACGCGCTTATAATCAGTTTTCAATGCGAGACCTTTACATTCTAAATAATTTAGACGAATGGCTATCGTATGGATTTCACATGTGAAAAATCTCTGTAACAAAATGTTATGTTCTTATCAATTAAAGACGAAATGCTTTTCAAAATGCTGCAACGTGGAAAGCTCCCACTTGATATCTAAAACCAATCCATCTCTTTCTTTTACGCGCAACCTTCGTCCGTTTGAATCGATGCACTTCCCGCGAAAAAATTTCCAGTGGCGTAGCAGGAATTTTTCTCCTCTAATGACATGCATGAAAGCGGGAATGATTCAAAAACTGCCAGTTTAGACGTTTCTATTTAATTTGTTGCCCATACCATTTGCAGTAGTTTTTAATTTTAAAAAATTGGCCTGTTTTGGATTTTACAGCTTAAAGATCAATAGTAAGGGCATTTTTCCGATGATTTGAAATGTACAGGCCAAAGATCTACAAGAAAATGCCTTTTCGGTTCCGTGAGGGATCGAACGTTTTTCAAAAAGGTTAAAGCTTCTTTCTCATTACTTCTGATGCTGAAATGAAATCTCTTGTAAACCTTTGAAAACACATAGGTCATTGAACGACCATTAAATGTTGGTAATGATTTACCTAAGGGCTCTAAGTGAGCTATGGAATCTTTTAGAGAGTCCCAAAAACATTTAAAATACCCCATGATTGACGGTATAAAAAATATAGGAAAACAAGAAATTCATGGTTTACTCTGAAAGAAAATCAGAGGAAGGATGTAATCTCTGAGAGTACGTATCACCAAAGGGCCTGAGAGAAACCTCCAAGGAACAGAAGGTGTTGAGAGCGCAAAGGGTTGAAATTATTTTTTAAGAAAGTAGCACCAAGGGATCTGCCGAAAAGTAATATTTTCTTACTGATATAACTTTGTAGTGTACTTAACCCCAGGTTCTACGCTAACTTCACACTACAAGAACACGGAAATAAAGTCAACCCGGCAACGAATGACTATTCCCTCCAAAACTAAACAAGAACCCGCTTAAATTTGAAAAGTGGCACGTGATCAAACAGGCAGGGCCCCCTTACGTTAGTTGTAGACAACGCTTTGACCTGAAGCACAGTAGGGAAGGAACGTAAAATAAAACACTCAAATTGTGAAAAGTTTGTTTATCAATGATCGCAATAAATTATTAAGATTGTGAAAGCTCGGAATAAATTACATTGCAAAAATAAACTTTGAAAATGGTAGTTCACCGAATAAAAATAGAAATAGGATGGGAAAAAAAGAACTTACCAATAAAAAACCAGCCGTCAAGTAATATTAAATTGTGTAGTAAAATGAATTGTTTGTAATTATGTGAATGCGTAACATAAAATTATCACAAAAAGTAGCACGTAAACTTCAAGAGGTGACATTGTGACAATTAGGTAAAAAACAAGTTTTGGGAATTATGGGTTAGGTAAGCAGGTACCAGGATTTTAAGAGAGGGTGAAATACACAGGATGTGACTCATCTTTGGTGCAATAAAGTCCTTTTGTTAAAAGCAAGATGGAAAATTACATGGCCTTGTAGGCAAATTTAACTAAAAGCAAGATATGTGGAAATTATTGAATCGCCACTCATTTATCGCACATAGATTCTAAACTGAAGAGCTTTGATTAGCGTAACCCCGCTCCTGCAAGATAGGTAACTCGCCCCTGATTTCGGGGTTTCGAGCCTACATTTGAAAGTCGAAGACAATCACGGAATGATGTGTCGTAGCTCAATTTTGACTACAGTTTTTACTACCTCCGTGCCTGCTTCATTCACTGAGAAAATGGTTAGTAACAAACAAAAAGTCAGTACATACATCAAACGAATCGGTAATTTCCACATATTAAAATAAAATGATCAAAACTTATATGAATGCAACTTCAGGGTCAAGACCAAATAATCAACATCAATAAACATAAATTAAGCAAACATTACACAAAAAACGTAAACGATTACAAACAGTAGGATAACGGTATTAAACATGTCATTCTGCATTGCGGTTAAACCAAGTAAATTTCAAAAACAAGGATTGAAACAAAAAAAAATATAAAATGCGGCATACAAAACACAAATACGATAAAGATAAATGCAAAAATTACTACTTACCTGCATTAAAAAAACAACAAACATTTATGGATCGACGCGTTCACGACCGCCATTCAAGACAAGATGCCAAATGTAACCCCCGTTCTTGCTTTTTAGATGGCGCAGGCAGCTTTTTCCCACCTAGAAATTGCATAGTTGCCAACTCTCAAAAATGTATGTATCGTCGTAAGTTGTATATACAGGGTGGAACCTCTCAACATTATTTCCGGTTACGGTCTTCACCCTGTTTCTAGTCGCTATGCTATTTCCATCCCTCTTATTTAGTGTATTTATTATCCCTCTCATGTTCTGGGCCCTCAACAGGCTTGCAACCAATTACAGAGCGACTCGCATAATGCTTTTTAGAGGTGCCTCTGCAGAACGTCTTAAGTTGTTCTACACTACTCCGAACTTACTTACGAACCAGGAGAACTGCAGGAAAACCTAATTCGGAGTAGCCGGAAAAATGTTCGAAACTGGTCTAAGGAAATTCCCATCTCTATCACAGATAAAAAATTCTTACCTCGGCCCAGGTTCGAACACCAGACCTCCGGCTTTATAGCCCAACGCTCTACCATTGAACTACAAAGATTATTTGTTTCTGGTTACCCACTTGTCTTCAGCTGTCACATCTTCGGTTTGTGTTGGTTTTGGGATCCCTGCTGCCAAATGCAAGATGCTGATTGAATGACGTGAAGAATTATGAAGAGGACTTTTACTTGTCCTGATGGCGCAGACTTCCTGAGGCAAGTTAGGGCGGGCATAAAAGCAGGGGCGGTTGCCGCATGACCAATAAGAGGACCTTGCGACCCTTCAAAGCATACAGCTATTAAGAGTTCAGAGATTATAACGGTTTTGCGTCATTTCCAATGAATGGTCTGGACCTTGTCACCATCAAAACTTTATTATTATTGCTCATTCTAATTTCATTCGTATAGGATTTATGTACGTGTAACTGCGCCATTTCCCAATTGCTGATCAGGTGAGCCGTAAACAAGATCATTTTGCAATCAAATTTAAATAATTATGAGAGCCAAATACACCAAATTTGGAGTGGCGAAATAAACTCGTGTACATAAAATGGACGTTGTTCAGTCATCGAGAAACTCAAAATGAAGATCTTCGACGCACAGGACGAGTATAAGAAGAATAAAGAGTTAAGGGTAGAGGATGTGAGGGCCCTGCAGGAGTGGGTTGAAAAGCAACCGCACATGCCATCAATTTCAGGTAAGTGTTAAACTGGATTTGGTAAGGCAGGAACCGATGGCCTCTTCCAGAGTGCCTACTGATCGCTTTCTTGCAAAGTTGCTATTGGAGCATGGAGCAGGCTAAGGAAGCAATTGAGAGGTTTGTGACGTGGCGAGCGGCCTGGCCCGATATCTTTGTGGGCCTGGATCCTCATCGTCCCAATCTAAAATCCACGATGGATCAAAAGTAATATCGGTTCATTGATCTGCGATCTTTGTCATCCATTTGTTTCCAGCCTAGCAACTATGCTACCAATGTCGTCTAAAAAAGGTTACAAGCTTCTCTACTATAAATTAATGATACCAGACTCTGCTGTATTTACTGCAACGGAACTGATAAAACTGGTAGATATGGTTCTTGCAATGGACGTAATGGAAGGAGGTCCATATGGCGGTTTCATAATGGTTTGCGATTTAACCGATTTTGATGCAGCGCATTTCATTAAAGTGCGGGTCACAGAGACGAGGCGGTGTTTGCAATATTTCCAGGAGGCCATACCAGTTAGGTTTAAAGCTATACACTATGTCGTATCAGGAAAGATGGTCGAGTTATTAATGGCTATGGTAAAACCGTTTCTGAACAGAACACTCCTAGGGAAAGTAAGGTATTCTCCAGAAACAGCATCACCAACCCATTACTTTTAGCTACACTTTCACGACTCTTACGAGGCATTATTCAAGTGTATCCCCCAGGACGCGTTACCTAAGGAATTTGGTGGAAAGAATCCTAGTCTTAAAGAATTGCACGGTTGCTACCACAAGGTGAACGAAAACTGAAACTATATCATTCCACTTTCAGAGAATATGAAGAGAACTCTGGTTGAGAACGTGGACTTCTTCAAGGACGTGGAGAAACTCGTCGCCAACGAAGCGCTACGAGACCGAAGTAATTTATCGGTTGATTCAGAGTTGGGGGTTGGAGCGCAGGGATCGTTTAGAAAATTTAATGTTGAGTAGCATGCATTTTAAATTTTGAAATCTCAAAATGGTAGCATACACACATAGTAGTTTTATGTATTTCTATTAAATCGCGCAATCGCTTCCTGGCGTTCTTTGTTATCCCATAGTCTCCGTCTTCCACTGGGCTATCGGAGATAGTCGTACGCCGCAATCGACATGTAGGCCATTATTGCGATCAGCTTTTTGTATCTCATGTAGAAGTAGATATTCCTGTGGATCAGAAAAACTGGCGATCTGCCAGTAACCGGCCTGTAGGTCGATCGTCGTGATGGAGTTCAGCTGCCGGTAGCCGATGCACATGCACTCTGGTGGATCCGCCCGGTTCTTGTATCGCACTCCTCGCATGCTGTCGATTACGGCTTGCAGGACGCCTGGAATTGAACAATACCGCGGCGCAGGGACCGGAGGGGGGGGGGGTGATTATGCCCCTGGAGTGAACGTTTCCACGTTTGTCTGTCTGTAGCAAGGAGTTGAGGTCCTCTCTTTCGGTAGGTGACCTGGTAGCGCATTCGCTTGGTCGTATAGTTATTACCTCGGCTTCCACCATGAAGAGGGCGAGGTCCTGGCGAATCCTCTTGTGTCTGGGGGGGGGGGGTGAGGGAAAATTGATAGCGAGGATAAAGCCGGTAAGGGTACCACAGGAGCCTCGGGCAGGGCGTCCGCAACGATGTTGAATAACTCGGAGGAGATGTTCGTGGGCCAGGTTACGCTGGCGAGGACTCGGGGGCTCGGGGCGTGCGGAAAAGTTTTGGTGACGCAACGGTTCCTCACTGCGAAGATCGCTTCCACAGCTTCGGGCAAAAAAAAGAAAATCGGCGGGCGTCTTGGTTAAGGGTGCACTACCGTTCCGCGAGGTTTATTGTAATTTCCGCGTCCTCGTTGAAGTCTAGTCCAACGAGGGTACGATTCTCGGCACCGTGGAGTATCAAGAATTCCGTTCGATTGGCCCATCCTCTTAAAGTCACCGGAACGTTTACGATTAGGACGGCTTGTGGGCGACCGGCGATTGTCTTGGTCCGTGAAGGAAGCAGTCCACTCCTGCGGTCCTCGCGTTATCACAGCAACTGGGGCACTGGCGTCGTACCACGCCGGGCCGGAATTGCCACACTCGAAGCACTTTAGTGGGGAGTAGTGGTAGTAGTAGTCTCGTAAACTTTTTCCGACATTCTCCCTGCGAGTGTCCGGGATTTATGCAATTAGTGCACCTGAGTTTGCGGGTGGTGGCTTCCGCAGTGTGTTTTGTCGGCTGCAAGACCTCGAACTTTAGTAGTGTGTCTTTTTTGGAGGAGGTGCGGGGGATTTTCTTACGTATTCTTTGGCGAAAGAGCCCATACACTACATGTATGCTCTCGCTGATATCTTCCTCGATCCGGACCAGCAGCGCCCATTTTGAAGTCCACGTTCTCAACCAGAGATCTCTTCATGTTGTCTGAAAGTGAAATGATAGACTCTCAGTTTTCGTTCACCCTGTGGTAACAACCGTGCAATTCCTTATGACTGGGTTGCTTCCCACCGATTTCCTTGGGAAACTCGTCCTGAGGGATACGCCTGAATAATGCCTCGTAACAGTCGTGAAAGTGTAACTAAAAGAAATAAGTTGGTGGTGCTGTACCTACGTGGAAACTAAATACCTTCCCTAAGAATGTTCTGTCCATAAACGGTTTTGCCAAAGGAATTAATACCTCGAGGAAATTTCCTGATATGGCATAGTGCATAGCTTTAAGTCTAACGGGTATGGCATCCTGCAGATATTTCATGAACCGCCTCGACTCCGTAACCCGCGGTTTCTTCATATGCCCTACATTATAATCGGTTAAATCGCAAACCATTATCAAACCGCCATATGGACCATTTTCCATTACATCCTTTACAAGAACCATGTCCGTCAGTTTTACCAGTTCCGTTACAATGAATCTATCAGAGTCTGGAATCACTGGTTTATAGTAGAAAAGCCTGCAACCCTTCTTAGACGCCATTGGCGAAATAGTTACTAGTCTGAAATGAAATGCATGACTAAAATCGCAGATCAGTGAATGGTTAGAACTGTTGATCAATCGTGGATTGTAGATTAGGAAGACAAGGATCCAGGTTCGCATAGAAATCGGGCCAGGCGGCTCTCCACGTCACGAACTTCTCAATGGCGGCTTTGGTCTGTTCCATGCTCCAATAGCAACTTTGGAAGAAAGCGATCAGTAGGCTCTCTGGAAGAGACCTTCGGTTCCTGCTTTATCAACTCCAAATTAACACTTACCTGAAATTGATGGCATGTGCGGTTGCTTTTCAACCCACTCCTGCAGAGCTCTTACATCTTCCAACCTTAACTCCTTAGTCTTTGTATACTCATCCCGTGCGTCGAAGATCTTCATTTTGAGTTGCCCGACGAGTGAACCACCTCATAATTATTTAAATTTGGTTGCCAAATGATCTTGTTTTCTTCTCACACGATCATCAAATGGGAAATGGCGCAGCTACACGTGTATAGAGTGGAATAGACAATTGTATCAATTTTTGTATTTGCAAGGTCAGGAATAATTAGTAGATGAACGTTAGTAAACAACCTAGTCAATGCAAATGTTGTGAGGCACTTTTTTTAGTCTCCCAGGAACCTTTTATGTTGTTGTTGTAGGTTCTGAAGGGTTTCAAAGGCTCTGTTGACGCCGTGTCTATTGCCCCTGTCTCAAATCTGCTCCAAGGACCTCTCGCCCAAAGTTCTCAATCGAGATTGATCATTTGCTCCTATTCGTCTGGACGCGTTGGAATCTATTTCACCATCCTTACAGGTTTTGTAAGGTTCTGGGCTCCGAGAAACCCGAAGGAACTTCTCCTTTGATAGATCCGCGTTTTCTGTTTTCTTGGTTTAACGATGCCCGAAACTCGAAACGGTGTTTGTACATTTCCTACTTACGCATTTTTTGCTCTCCTGCTGTAACGGGGGCCCACAACTTTTATGGGTCACTGGTTCGCGTGTACGTCTTGACCGACTAGTGCATTTGTCAAGTTACTAGCAACAACCGGCTTTGTAGCTCAGTGGTAGAGCGTTGGGCTACAAAGCCGGAGGTCGGGTGTTCGAACCTGGGCTGAGGTAGGAATTTTTCGTCTGTGGTAGAGATGGGAATTTCCTGAAATCAGTTTTGAGCATTCTGCCGACTACTTCTAATTAGGTTTTTGTGCAGTTTTCCTAATTCGTAACATAAATACCGGAATAGTATAGAACAACTTAAGACCTTTTGCAGGGATACCTCTAAAAAGCATTATGCGGGTCACTCTGTAATTGGGCGTAAGCCTATTGAGGGCCTAGAATAAGAATAAATAAATAAATAAACATCCGGACGGGCTGTAATACCATCCCTCTCTCCGATGGAACACCTGAGGAGGAATTTTCGGGTAAGAAATCCTCAGCAGCCTCAGGGAAGGCACCCCACAAGCTTTATGGAGCCACTCGTAAGCACTAATAGCTGATGAGCACAACCCAAACGAGGCTATAGGTACGGTCATGGCTACAAAGTCAAAGTCAAAAAATACCCTCAAGAGAGCCAGCAAGCTCAAGGAATGGGAGAGGGCTGTTCTATCCTTGGATGGGAGCGCAAATAATTCCCTAAAAAAACTCCATGCACATCCTCAACTTCTCAAGCCAAGGAGGAAGGCCGAGGCGCTTCCGCGCCGCCAAAGAAAACTTTCCAAAAAGCCCTGCAGGGCATCAAAGTAGGGATCTTCTCGACAAATCCAAATTTGGATACCATCCCCAATGATACATAAACCATCGGAGCGATATTGGATGGTCTAGGAGAGACAAAGCCCCGTTTAAACGATTCGGTTGCCAAGCAAAGCTGGATAATGCTCAAGAACGTGGAGACGGTCTAGTGCCAAACCGTGGGAGGGAGTTCAAGTTGAAGTTCGATAGGAAAAGGATCTCCCAAAGCCTCACTTTCAGGGAGAGGCGGAAGAGTCGACACAACTAAAATGCCGGAATTAACGTGAAGACCTGGAAAGAAATCCACCGCAACATCGTCGACAACACATCGGCCAGTTATCTAGAAAACCCGCAATTTACTTTCAAGCTCAGGCCGGTTCTGGTTACTCGCAGACAGAGAAAGGGCGGACAGAAGACCAATCAAACCAAACCCACGGCGAAGGCTAGACCCTCAAAGCCCAATGAAGCCTCTGGTGGAACACTCATAGCAGAGCCCACCAAGTGACTCCAATGGTACTCAGGTAAACCTCAACTGGGGGGGGGGGGGGGGGGAACGAGGCAGTAATGCCTCCACCGCAGGTGGTACAGTGGCTGAGCAGATACTGCAAGAAGCAGGGGGTGGATCTTCTTATAGAATGTGATGCCAACTCCCATCACCTCCACTTGGACAGCACGGACACAAACCGTAAAGGTGAGTACCTTTTAGATTTTCCTTTGTCAATAGAACTAGGGATACGCAATCAGGGCAATAAGTCAACATTTTTAACCAGGAATAGGAAAGAAGTCCTAGATATTACCTTTGCTTCCTCCTTTCTAGCCGAACATATTTATACTGAGATCCTTGAGTAACAGGCTACCAGAAGAGTATTTGACAAAGGGGATTACCCCTGCGAGTGTCCGGGATTTGTGCAATTAGTGCACCTGAGTTTGCGCCGCAAACCAGTGCCGCCGCAGTGTGTTTTGTCGGCTGCAAGACCTCGAACTTTAGTAGTGTGTCTTTTTTGGAGGAGGTGCGGGGGATTTTCTTACGTATTCTTTGGTGAAAGAGCCCATACACTACATGTATGCTCTCGCTGATATCTTCCTCGATCCGGACCCGCAGCGCTCATTTTTTTTGCCCCGGTGGTGTTCTTGTCACCTTGCTCTGTAGAGAAGATTTTACGGAGGAGCTGGTGCAGGGGCTAGTCCGAAAATTTGTCGCAGCAGGGCGGTGGCGCCGACCCGTTTCACCCCTCGCCACCATGTGGCAGCGTCCTTCTCAAGCAGCATTGCGATACCTACGAGGGCGTTGTTGGCCGAGACTTGGGTACATGCCTTCTAGGTATTTATGCTGTGGAGGAAAGGCTCCAGGTCTCTTTTGCCGTCAACCCAGATGTGAGCTTCGCCAACGATGCTGTAGTTCCCGTTAATGGAACGCAAATTACCTGGATGAGTTCCTGCAGCACCTCGGGCGTGAACGTCAAGGCTCCGGTGTTCTGTTGGTCCATCTTTGGCGTTTTGGAGTTTCTTGCGCACCACTGGTATATGGGAGCAACTTGTTAGCCGGGTTCAGAAGAGATGGATGCTTAATAAATAATGCACTGTTTAAGGGTAAGCTACTCTAACTAACGAAATCTCTTGAAAACCTTGGAAGGCACATAGCGACCTTTAAAGGCCCTTAAATGTTACTCATGGTTTGTAAAGGCCTTTTTGAAGCTTTTGTAACTAAGTGGCTTGCGGTATTCATTCACTAAAATGTCTTTAAAAAACCCTTAAAGATCGTAAAGGGTCTTAAAAGGCCCTAGACGAACATTGAATAAACAATAAGGTTATTCAACTTAAAAATTTACTTAATAAAGGCTTTATTGGCTCTAAAATCCTGACAATATTTCAAAAAACTCCCCTAGGATTACTCTTGAGGCTAGCATATGGTAAAGTATAATAAACCAGCTCCTAGAAAAGAAGAAAACCTGAGGGCTCCTTATGGAAAGTGTTCATAAGAACTCAGAGAACCTTGTTTGGGAGACCGCTTCACCAGGTGGTGTGGAGGAGTATGGAATACTTCACAGGAAATGCAAGAACTTTGGTCATTTTCTGAAAGATGATTATAATAATTCGGAGGTTTATTTATTTATTTAATTTTTATTTATTTATTTATTTTATTTATTTATTTATCCACCCGGTTTCTAGTCGCTATGCTATTTCCACCCCTTTTTTGATTCTGGCTACCCACTTGCTTTCAGCTGTCATATCTTCGGTTTCCAATGGTTTTGGGACCCCTGCTGCAGACAGCAGATTGGGTACCCAAACCTGTCAAGACTATGGAATAGGTTTCGGAGTGGGAAGGTATTCAGTCGGTTGATTAAATGGAACGGTTTTGAGTTATTTCCAATGACTTCTTCAAAGTGCGAACCCTCCAAGTCCTTTCGAGGAGCCTGGGCGGTATAGACAGGCAAAAAACTCAATATTTCTGACCTTGTCAGCACCAAAAATTTATTATTATTGCTTATTCTAGTTGTATTCGTAGATTGCATGTACATGTAACTGCGCCATTTCCCAATTGAGGCGTAAACAAGCTCATTTTGCAATCAAATTTAAATAATCATGAGAACCAGATTCACCAAATTTGGACTGGCAAAACAAACTCGTGTATATAATAAGATGGTCGCGATTCACTCATCGCGAAACTCAAAATGAAGATCTTCGACGCACAGGACGAGTATACCAAGACTAAGGAGTTAAGGTTGGAAGATGTAAGGGCGCTGCAGGAGTGGGTTGCCAAGCAACCGCACATGCCATCAATTTCAGGTAAGTGTTAATTGGGAGTTGATAACGCAGAAACCGATGGTCTCTTCCAGAGAGCCTACTGATCGCTTTCTTCCAAAGTTGCTATTGGAGCATGGAACAGACTAAAGCCGCCATTGAAAAGTTCGTGACGTGGCGAGCCGCCTGGCCCGATTTCTTTGCGAACCTGGATCTTCCCCATCTAAGATCCGCGATTGATCAAAAGTAATAAGGGTTCATTGTTCTGTGATTCTTGTCATGCATTTTTTTCAGCCTAGCAACTGTGTTACCAATTCCGTCTAAGGAAGGGTACAAGCTTTTCTACCATAAACTAATGATCCCAGACTCTGCTAGGTATACTCCAGCGGAACTGATAAAACTGGCAGATATGGTTCTTGTACAGGACGTAATGGAAAAGGGCCCATATGGCGGTTTGATAATGGTTTCCGATTTAACCGATTATGATGCAGCGCATATCCTCAAAGTGCGGGTCGCAGAGTCGAGACGGTGCCTGAAATATCTGCAGGACGCCGTACCACTTAGGCTTAAAGCTTTACACTGTGTCGTATCAGGAAAAGTCCTCGAGATATTAATTCCGTTGATAAAACCATTTCTGAACAGAACACTCCTAGGGAAGGTAAGTACTCTCCACGTACAGCACCACCAACCTATTTCTTTTAGTTACACTTTCACCACTCGTACGAGGCATTATTCAAACGTATTCCCCAGGACGCGTTTCCTAAAGAAATTGGTGGGAAGCAACCCAGTCTTAAGGAATTGCACGGTTGTTACCACAGGGTGAACGAAAACTGAGAATCTATCATTCCACTTTCAGAGAATATGAAGATAGCTCTGGTTGAGAACGTGGACTTCTTCAAAGACGTGGAGAAACTCATTGCCAACGACGCGCTACGGGATCGGAGTAATCTATCGGTTGATTCAGAGTTGGGGGTTGGAGCGCAGGGCTCGTTTAGAAAATGTAATGTTGAGTAGCCGACATTTTTAATTTTGAGATATCAATAGTGTAGCATGTAGGTAATTCCAAATGTATAAATACACGTACTTTAGTTTTCTGTATTTGTATTAAATTACGCAATCTTTCGTTAAATATTGTAACGGAAACGCTCCAGACATGACGTCGCCTTTGGCGCTCTGGAATTTTTTACGCGCGCGATAGTGGGATTTGTATAGGAATATTCGAGACTTATCCGGTAATTACGCTAGTGTTCTGGACTTACATTGCTTGCGTGTATAAATGGTCGCGGACCAAACATCGCAGGAGTTTACTACCGAACGAGATCGAGTACGGATGAAACATCGAGCGCGGAAATATAAATTGCGAAGTGTGTGATATAAATAGTCGATATAAATTGTACAGTTTTTATAGTGTCTTAGTTTTGTTTAATAAATATTGATATAAATCGAACCCGAATTTATAAATCACGTTACAATATGAACGTTTCCTGTCGTTCCCACGTTATCCCATGCCTTTACAAACCATGAGTAACGTTTAAGGGTCTTTAAAGATCTCTATGTGCCTTCAAAGGTTTTCAAGAGATTTCGTTAGTAAGTTAGAATAGTGTACCCTTAAACAGTGCATTATTTATTAAGCATCCATTTCTTTTCAACCCCCACCCCAATTGTGGCGCCCATGCCAGTGGTGCGCAAGAAAACGAAAAAAAACACACTACGAAAGTTCGAGGACTTTCAGCCGACAGCACACACTGCAGAAGCCACCACTCGCAATCTCAGGTGCACTTATTGCAGAAATTCCGGACACTAACAGGGGGAATGCTGGACGAGGGCGAAAGCTTACGAGACGGAAGCTCCAAATCCACCAGCATCGTTGCGAACGCCCTGCCCGAGGCTCTTGCGGTACTCTTACGGGCTTTATCGTCACTATCAATCTTCCCTCACTCTCCCCCTCCCCCCCTCCCCCCATACACACACAAGAGGATTCGCCAGGACGTCGCCCTAGAATTTTTTATCTGTGACAGTGACAGAGATGGGAATTTCCTTACACCAGTTTCGAACATTCTGCCGGTTACTCCGAAATAGGTTTTATTTCTATTAATCCATTTTTGGTACTTTACTCATTGTCCCCCGTGACACTTTGGTGGTTCAAAATCCTATTCCTCCTAGACTAACCCCTACTCTGCTTTTTAAATTTTGTCGCACCTCCAAAATGGCGCTGATTAATTAACGCGGCCATCTTTAATCATTACTGATACCTCAATCAAATACGTATAAAATCCGTCCACGAAAAACGTTTATTATAGTCAATGCAGCGCTTCACATCAAAACCCGCATAGAACCATGATCATCATTTCGCTGTTTTGACCACTTAAATCCCATTAAGATAGTATTACGGCCCGTCAGAGTGTGTCAGTAATTTTTCCAAGTCATTAATCGGTCATGACGCACGCCTTAACCAGTGATCCATAAATACTTGACTTTTCAAGAATTGAAATCTTTGAAATTATCCTAAAAACTAACCCTCTGATGGGGACACGCTGTATACTCCCTAATACCCAGTATTTAACACTGAGCAACTATGGAATTTCGAAAAAATAAACCTCTTTTAAAGCGTTCCGTTACAAGGTATAGAATACTCGCGTTAGAATAGAAGAAATTGATAGATTTTCTTTAAGAACGGGGCATTGGGGTGTCTGAGGGGTTAATTCACTGTCAATTGAATTTAACCACAGTGCCAATGGACCTACATTATTTGGATTTCTTATTGTTAAATCAAATTTTTAAATAGGACTCCGTGTTTCGATTTGTTCACGCACAATGAAGTTTCAAATTATGGCAACTGCTGGCGATTAATAAATGTCCGTACTCTAAACTCGACTCGACATCGCGATATAGCTTATTTGTAGTCACCAACTCGCTATGGCGACGGCGCCTGCATTTTGTTATCCACTTTCTGCTTTTTGTTTCGCCATTTATGAACTCTGAAACGGAACCAACGCAAATGTCAGGGCGGCGTCCCATTTTAGTTAATAGTGGACTCGCATTTTCGTCATCTCGGCTTCGGTAGATCAAAGGCGGAATTCCTGCAGGTTTTTGGGAGCCCAAAACCTGTGAGGGAAGGGGTAGGTTGCAAATCACCCAGAAGAATAGGAGCAAGTGATCAACTTCCCGAGACAGGGGCGACAACAGCAGCCTTTGCAATGAGGTAAATCGATTAGTTGTTTACTGACGGTAATCTACTGATTATTCCTAGCCTTGGCCACACAAACATTTATTGTGATTGTTTAATTTACTTCTATTCGTAAGTTTTATGTACGTGTGACCGAGCTATTTCCCATTTGGTGATGGTTACGCGTAAACAAGATCATTTGGCAATCAAATTTAAATAATTATGAGAGCCAGATGCGCCAAATTTGGACTGACCTGTATATAAGATGGGTATAGCTCACTCATCGAGAAACTCAAAATGAAGATCTTCGACGCACGGGACGAGTATACGAAGAGTAAGGAGTTAAGGGTAGAGGATGTGAGGGCTTTACAGGAGTGGGTTGAAAAGCAACCCCACATGCCACCAATTTCAGGTAAGTGGACAATTGGGTTTGATAACTCAGAAATCGGTGGTCTCTTCCAGAGTGCCTACTGATCGCTTTCTTGCAAAGTTGCTATTGGAGCATGGAGCAGGCCAAAGCGGGGATTGAGACGTTCCTGACGTGGCGAGGCGCCTGGCCCGATATCTTTGCGGACCTGGATCCTCATCTTCCCAATTTAAAATCCGCGATTGATCAACAGTAATATCGGTTCATTGATCTGCGATCTTTGTCATCCATTTGTTTCCAGCCTAGCAACTATGCTACCAATGTCGTCTAAAAAGGACCACAAGCTTTTCTTCTATAAACTAATGATCCCAGACTCTGCTAGATATTCCGGAACGGAACTGATAAAACTAATAGATATGGTTCTTGCAATGGATGTAATGGAAAAAGGCCCATATGGCGGTTTGATAATGGTTTGCGATTTATCCGATTATGATGCAGCGCATGTCATCAAAGTGCGAGTCACAGAGTCGAGACGGTGCCTTAAATATCTGCAGGATGCCCTACCACTTAGGCTTAAAGCTATACATTATGTTATACCAGGAAAATTCCACGAGGTCTTAATTCCTTTGGCAAAACCGTTTCTGAACAGAACACTCTTAGGGAAGGTGAGCACTCTTCACGCACAGCGTCTCTAATCCATTTCTTTTAGCTGCACTTCCACGACTCTTACGAGACGTTATTCAAGCACATCCCCCAGGACGCGTTTCCTAAAGAAATTGGTGGGAAGCAACCCAGTCTGAAAGAATTGCACGGTTGTTACCACAAGCCGAACGAAAACTGAGGCTCTATCATTTCACTTTCAGAAAACATGAAGAGATCTCTGGTTGAGAACGTGGACTTCTTCAAGGACGTTGAGAAACTCGTTGCAAACGAAGCGCTACGAGATCAAAGTAATTTATTGGTTGACTCACAGCTGGGGGTCGGGGCACAGGGATCGTTTAGAAAATTTAGCGTTGAGTAGTCAACAGCCCCCGAGTTTAATTTTGAGTTAGCATGTAAAAAAATGTAGGTATAAATAGAAATACTATAAACGTATTCTGTCGTTTCTGCGTGATCCCATACCCTAGCCGTTAGCAAGCTTAGCTTAAGTTTTGCCGTCGCGGTACTTTCCATAGAAACGTTCCGAATGTCATTTTATACCGTGCTTCGCGTCACATTCGAAATAAGTGCGACAAATGTCATTAGAATGCACAATCATCTGTTTCACTTTATCTAATCTCACGGTTAAATTTAAATTTAATCCTATTAAAATGTGTATTTCTAGAAACCAATTTCGAAAAAAAATTCAAAGGGCTGTAACTTTTGAACTAGTAGCCCAATCTTGGAATTGTTTGAAATTATGGATTCTACAGGCCACATTCTATAAGAAAATTTCTTTTCCGGGTCGATCTGAGACAATTTTCTTTTCGGGGCTCAAAAAAAGGCAATGTATAACCTTCCTTTTTTACCAAAAATCGACTACACCAAAATTTCTTGGGAAAACGATTTTCTTATTAATTTAGGTGCGTAGAATCCAAATCAATTCAGACTTTTTCGATCAGACTTCTCAATCAAAGGTTATAGACTAGAAACCAATTTCGAAAAAAAATTCAAAGGTCTGTAACTTTTGAATTAGTAGCCCAATCTTGGAACTGTTTGAAATTTTGGATTCTACAGGCCACATTCTATAAGAAAATTTGTTTTCCGGATCGATCTGAGACAATTTTTTTCTCGGGGCTCAAAAAAAGGCAGTGTATAACCTTCCATTTTTACCAAAAAACGACTACACCTAAATTTCTCGGAAAAACGCTTTTTCTTATTAATTTAGGTGCGTAGAATACAAATCAATTCGTACTTTTTCGATCAGACTTCTCAATCAAAAGGTAAGACTAGAAACCAATTTCGGAAAAAAATTCAAAGGGCTATAACTTTTGAACTAGTAGCCCAATCTTGGAATTGTTTGAAATTATGGATTCTACAGGCCACATTCTATAAGAAAATTTTTTTTTCCGAGTCGATCTGAGAAAATTTTTTTTTCTTGCCTCCAAAAGAAGGCAGTGTATAACCTTCCTTTTTAGCCAAAAATCGACTGCACCAAAATTTCTCGGGAAAACGCTTTTTCTTATTGATTTTGGTGCGTAGAATCCAAATCAATTCGTACTTTTTCGATCAGACTTCTCAATCAAAAGTTATAGACTAGAAACCAATTTCGAAAAAAAATTCAAAGGGCTGTAACTTTTGAACTAGTAGCCCAATCTTGGAATTGTTTGAAATTATGGATTCTACAGGCCACATTCTTTAAGAAAATTTTTTTTCCGGGTCGATCTGAGACAATTTTTTTTGAGGGCCTCAAAAAAAGGCACTGTATAACCTTCCTTTTTTACCAAAAAGGCTACTCCCAGTAAGTTGAGTACTCGTGTCGACAAAGTTTCCTTTAAGAAGTTGGATTTCTCGAAACCCTACTCCTGTATCGTCAAGTGACAATCGGCCTGCCACCTGAAAATCCCTAAATCCAGAAGCACAGATGCTGAGAAGACCTTTATTTTTTATTTGCCTGAGCATTTTAGGGGTAATTCGTAATAGTCCTACCCTTTTGACCCTTGAAGCCGCCTCAAGGCGCGACTATGTCGAAAGGTCCTATGTCGTTTTTGACCTTGTTTATCAACAAACTTATCACCGCGATTTCTCATGTAGCGATCCGCCATTGTGTAAAAAATTACCAAACACCTTGGCGTAAACAAGTTTAATGAGCCATAGGGTGTGAATAAATACGAAAGCATCTCACTAAAATTGCAGATCGCTCAAAATGAAACCATTCGACCCACAGGACGAGTATAGTAAAAACAGCGAGTTAAGGGCGGAGGACGTGAGGGCTCTGCAGGAGTGGACCGAGAAGCAACCCCACATGCCCCCCATTCCAGGTGAGTGACAGTCAAAAACCGCCGGAACTGACGCCTTCTTCCAGAAAACATCCTGATTGTGTTCCTGCGCGGTTGCCATTGGGGCTTGGAGCAGACCAAAGCCACCATAGAGAAGTTCCTCACGTGTCGGAGCGCCTGGCCCGATTTCTTTGCGAACCTGAACCCTCGCGTACCGAATCTGAAATCCGCGATTGGTCAAAAGTAACTACACCTTACCAAGCGACGACTTTAATCGTCCACCTTTCTTTAAGTCTAGTAACCTTCCTACCAATGGAGTCCAAGAAAGGCTACAAGCTGCTCTACTACAAATTAATGGTCGCGGACTCTGCCAGATTTAATCCCCCGGAAGTGGTAAAATTAACAGACATGGTTATCGCACTGGAAACATTGGCAAAAGGCACTTATGACGGTTTGGTATTAGTTTACGATGTGAATGGATGTGATGCAGCTCACATCCTCAAAGTGCGCCTCATGGATTCGAAACGGTTTCTAGGATATGCGCAGGTACATACCATCGACATATAATAAGTGGACTGCGCGTGCCAATGCTAAGCACAGATACTGCAGGTGTGAGAGAGAAGAGGGCAAGCTGTCTCTTACGGTTACGCATCTGATTGGTTCATTCAACAGAAGCGATCACGATCACATTCAAATTAAATTGAAAGGACCAATCAGATGCGTAACCGTAAGAGACAGCTTGCCCTCTTCGTTTTCCCTTCTCTCTCACCTGCAGTATCCGCGCTTATCATTGTTACGCTCAGTCCATATGTCGATGGTACATACCAAGAAACTTACCCGAAACTATTATTGTATATCCTTTAGGATGCCTTACCAGTTAGACTTAAGGCAATCCACATTGTTCTACCTGGGAAGTTTTCCGAGCTAGTGGTACCCATAGTAAAACCGTTTATGAAGAGAGAGTTCCTAAGGAATGTGAGTAGCCTCAAAGTATACCGCCTCAAACCCACTTTTTTCAGTTACACTTTCACGACTCCTACGAGTCGTTGTTTAAGCGCATTCCCCAGGAATCGTTTCCTAAGGAAATTGGCGGGAAGCAACCCACCCTTAAGGAATTACACGGTTGTTACCACAGAAGAAACGTAAACTGAGACTTTATCCTTTCACTTCCAGAAAACATGGAAAAGTCTCTGGTAGACAACGCAGACCTCTTCCTGAACGTGGAGGGACTCGTCGCAAACGAAGCGCTACGAGATCGTAGCAATTTATCGGGTGATTCAGATTTGGAAGTTGGAGTGCAAGGATCTTTTAGGAAAATTGGCATTGAGTAGTCCACAATTACTATATTTAATGTTAATTAATGTTAATTGTGGTTTTGTAAGTGATATGACGTTAAAAATGCAAAATACCAAGTGAATCATTAGGGTTGTTCCTCATTGGACTTTTCCCTTAGTTTCACGACAACTGGAAGGAACTGGAGAAACCAGAAACAGTAAAGAAATGAACGAGATGCTTAGGCCTGAAAAAGAGAGAAGGTGAAGAAAGAAAAGAACGAAAAGAAGAGAGATTAATTATATAAGATACACGGGAAGAGTAATAACAACTGGAATGTGTGTGGAAATTGGGAAATCTAGAAGGACGTTAAATCGAAGAAAACGAAGATTGTGACAAAGATAAGGGCCGATATATGATTGGAGTAACAAAAAAGGGAAAAAATAAATGGAATAACAGAAATACAAAAACCGGGAGGGGAGGGGGGTGTGTGAACAAGAAAAAAACGCCAGAACTGATAGAAAAGAGAGTATTTCAAGAATGGACGAAACGAGAAATAGAAGCAGACCGCGGAAAAAAGCAAATAGTCAGCGACGGCAACGAGAAAACTTAGGACGGACAAAGACAGAGGACCAAAAAGAGTGGGAGCGACTAAATTAAAGAGAACGGAAAACAAGAATAGGAACTATACGCAGGGAAGAGTAAAAGAAAAACGAGTTAAAGAGAATGGGGGAAACGGGACAGGGATAACGGTAGAAACAAAGGAAGGATCAGGGAGACAGACACAAGAGCGTTGAAAACGAGAAGAAAAGTGTAAATGAAGACACAAAGAAACAAAATGAAGGAAAGAACGAAAACGTCCAGAACAAGAAAAGATGCAGACGAAACAGTTTATTGACAGTCGCCTTCTAAGAAATATGTTTTTTTAGTATCAAGTTTGGTGCAAAAATTTCTATTAGGATCACAGAAAAGTGAGAAGGTGTATTTCTCACATTGCGACTTCCTTATAATGTATTAGAAGAGAGGCAATATATTACTTCTGCTTTTCTGTGATTATGGTGCAATTATTTTCAAAAAAACTTCAACAGTTTGGAGTGCTGAGGATGGATTGTTGGTTCAACTACAGTGCTCCCTGGGTTTAATCAAGTTCGAGCTTCTTAAACGATCCGTTCGTGCCGATTCCCAAGTCTACATCCATATACGACTGGCGACGGTCGCGCAGTCCTTCATTCGAAACGAACGTTTCCTGTTCGACAAAGAAATCCGCAGATTCAACGAACGACTCCTGCATCTTCGCTAAATACCAGAATCTGCAGTAATCGATCATCCCACAGGTGTCGCTTACCGTGCAGCTCAGTGCTGGGTGGAGCTTTCCCTTCCGCATCCTCTGGAAGGAATTCCAGGGGCACGTGCTGACCTAACGTTTCGTAGGAGCTATGGAAGTGCAGCTGAAATTGGGAAGTGGATGAGTACACCTTGTGGATGGACTTACCAAGTTCGCAAGTTCTTTCTTCATAAACGGCTTAACTAGCGGTACCAACAGGTCGGAAATCGCTGGCATCGTCACGTAGTGCAGGCCTTTCAGCCTGACTGGTAGCGCTTCCTACACGCAAAGCATCAGACCCTCCCGTCGGGTTATCAGCCCTTACCTGCAGGTACAGCAGAATCCTTCGCATTGCTGTGATCGGACTTTTCAAAATATGTCCGACTCCAACGTTCTTGAAGTCGCAAACGATCACGTATCCTTCGAAAGTTCCATGCTGCATCACTTCCAGCGTGACACACATGTCGAAGATTTTCAAGCAATTCGACGTCACGTACCTGTCGACGTCGGTATTCATAAACTTGAAGAAGACGATTTTGTAATTTTCCACGGTTCTGCTTGGTAAAAACGAGCACAACCTACAAATAGTGGCTTACTCCAGAGTGTGAACTAGGTGTGGCGCATATTACGACACTTCCATGGCGTCCTTCATTTTGGGATGGTTCGGGTTTCGATTCGCGAAGAAATCGCGCCACGCGCCCCTGTAGGTTAGAAACTTCTCCATTGTGACCTTGGTCTGCTCCACGCTCCAATAGCAGCTATGTAGGAAAATGGCTAGCTGTAAATCTGAAATTAACCGTCGTAGGTTGGCAATTGTGAGACTCGCACCCTTACCAGAAACTGGAGGAAAGTGTGGTTGTTTCAGAACCCACTCCTTCAAAGACTGCACGTCTTCCACGTGCAATTCCTTGTTTTTCGCGTACTCTTCCTCCAAGGTGGCCCACTTCATCATTTTCAATTTGCTTACTGGGCTTAGGAAAGCGAAGCAAATCAAATGTGCGTATCTGCATAAGTTATGTAGTTATTATTGTGTAAATATGTATGTGTGAAACGAGTTTAGGTAATGAGTCCTTCCAATTACTTGGTTTGCACAATAACGGGGGTAATTAGCATTCAAAGGTGAGGCAGTTTGCTGTGTATAGGAGCAGAAGTACAAACATTTTAATTACTTTCGTTGTCGAACACGAATTTCGATCAGCTCCGGAATTTTTTCCATGGGAGCTTTCAAAGCAAGCCCAACATGGAATGTTGAATTTCTGCTGTAAAAAGTTTTTCCGGAAAGTCCTTGCTCTTGGAACACCCACACGTAGATACTCTCCCCTGAAGTATATGGAGGTTCCTTGACGTTCACTTGGAGCTAAAAGCAAAGTTTCTTAAAAATCTGCTTAAAAGTGCTCCTGGAAGCTTGGTGAAACTTTCTAAAGAACCCTGTTGACATTCGCTTAAAGCCTATTTGACAGGTAGATTAAGTTAGCCCTCCTGAATAGGCCCCCAGGTTGATAGATCTCCAAAACTCCAAACCTTTGAAGCTCTATTGAGACAGTCTCGAAGCCCTCTCCTAACCTCCTCTTGGATTTCTCTCTAAATGTAATGAACACCTGTTACCTTCTTCGAATTTCTCGAACAATTCTTGAAAACCCGCAAAGCCTCGCAACGTCCCTGTAGTTTCTAAAAAATTTTGGAGAACCGTTTTAAAAACCCCCCTTCTATCGAAAAATTGTTTTCCTAAAAATCCTCTCTTGGAAGTGTAACAGAAATGTATTAAAAATCTTGCGAGTTCTTTGGCTTCTGCAACCCTTAAGACGCTATTGAAATGCTTAAGATCATCTGCAATTTTGTAACCGGCGGATCTGGGGGAGGGGTATAGAATACCTCCCCTCAAGGCGAGATTCATGACCATATGTCATTGCCATTTTCTAGGAAACACTGGGTGGTATTCCCTCCCAGAACCCCATTTATGATGTTTGTAGGGAGTATAGCGCCGGGGGGGGGGGGGGGGGGGAAAGATGACCCATATGCAGGCAGAAGTTGTCATTGTTTTCCAAGAAATGGTGTCCGATTCTTTTTGGAGTGGGGGAGGGGGGGGGGTGCGACCACTCTGCAAACGATTAGGAAAATTGGAATGTTTATGATTGTTGTGGCGAGTGTCGCGCCGGGGGAACTGGAGGTATGGAATACCCCCCAGCAAAGCGAGATTCATGACTCTATGAAGACAAAAACAGTCATTGTAATTTTCCAGGAAAGGGAGAGGTATTTAATACCCTTAGACCCAGTGGTGATACGCTCTTCTCCCAAATGTTCAGGAAAATGAGTATGCTTATGATTTTAGTAGGGATTGTAGTACATGGGGAACCGGGGGCTGTGGAATACCTTTCAACAAAGCGAGATTCATATGACCCCATGCAGTAAGAAACTGTGAAACTTTCATAGTTTTCCAGAAAAAGGTAATCGATTTCCTCTGTGCTGCGGGGTAGCGGGGAGGCCTCTAGGTCTCCCGGTGCTAAACTACCTACAAAAATCACTTACATTCTAATTTTTCTAAACATTTGGAGGGAGAACGTAACACCGGGAGTAGAATCACGAGTATGGAATACCCCCAGCGCAGTGGAAATCGAAGACCTTTTTCTGGAAAACTACAGTGACTAGAATTTGCATGATATGCAATGCAATTGGAAATCTCAAAATCTTCACAACGAAATTGCGAAAAAACGTAGAAATTTAGAGCTACCGTTACACCCCAGACCTCCTATGCTGCTCTCTGACTCAAAACCTTTAGAACGTTCTTGGTACCACCAAGCCTTTTATATATTTTCCAAAACTGTATTGTCCTCGAGAACCTTCTATTTCTTTGAAAAAATGATATTTTGAAGATTATTCCAGACAAAATTTCCACCCTGTATATGCCCATTTCAGACCTTTAGATACCCGACTAGTTGGGAAAAAAGTCTATAAATCCAAGAAAGACGCTCTACTGTATAGTACTTTTACTAATGTGTTCAGGGCATGTCTATCAGGTTATGGGCCCATGTAGGTTTCAAACAACAATCCTCTTAAAAAAGTTACTTGTATATTGCGGATTAAATGTAAAAATACCACACCACCACCAAAAGTCACCATTTAATATACAGTCAAAGACAACTAATCAAATTCCAGTTGTTTAAACGATCCGACCGCGCCAATCCCCAAATCCCGATCCATGTACGACGGTCTTCTATCGCGTCTCGATTCATCCGTGACCATCTTCTCCGTTTCGATGAAGAACTGCACGTTACTTAAGAGCAAATCTTGCATTTCGACTGAAAAATCACGAGATTGACAATGCAAGGGGATGAAATTCGCCTCAATACCGTGAAGATCGTAAATAGAAGGCGCGGTTCCTCCAAACTCTTTGGGAAAACACTCCTGTGGTACGAATTTAAGTACGCCCTCAAACGAGTCGGTAAAGTGCAACTGAAAAGGCGAGAGTGAGCTGGGGTGACTGTAAATCGTACACTTACACATTCCAAAAGTTTCTTGTTGATTAAAGGTTTAATTAATCCCTTGAAAAGGTCAGCTATGGGTCCCAAGTTGGTATAGTAGAGACCTTTGAGGCGCACTGGTAGTGCCTCCTGTAGGTAAGTTAGGAACTTCTTCACTTCGGTTACGTGCGTCTTCAAAACATGGCCTACAGTGGCATCCTCAAAATCACACACGATTACCAAACCATCACTGGTACCGCTCCTCAATATGTCAACTACGAGGACCATATCCATAATTTTCAGCTGGTCCTTGAGGACGTACCTGCTGAGGTCATGATCAAGTAATTTGATATAGAACACCCTGTAGTTCTCCGGAGTCCTTTTGGGAAGAAACGCGTACAGCCTAAAACAACCCAATAAAGTACCCCTTTTCCGGCGATTAATACGTTCGCAGTTACACCACTTCCATATCCGACAGCATCTTCGGCCGTCGCGGATCCGTGCCGGCGAAAAACTCGGGCCACGCTTTTCTGTACGTGAAAAATCGCTCTAGCGTCGACTTGGCCCTCTCGATGCTCCAGTAGCAGCTGTGCAGGAAAACGATGAGGTGCATCTCTGGAAGAGCGGATCAAATGAGCGCGGGCACTTGCGTCGACCGATCAAACCTGAAATGGGCGGCAGATGGACCTGCTTCGCGTACCATTCCTTCAAACTTTGTATGTCCTCTTCGCGCAAATCCTTATGTCTTCGGTACTCCAAAGCTACGTTTTCATCGTCCATTCCGTACGGTAATTCTTGAAGGGTGGGACTGTGCATTGTGCAACGTAAACTCGAATTGTATAGCTATTTTTTTGAGACGCAATTATTCATTCAAACTACCTACTTGACCTTGTTTTCTAAACTGAGTGAGAAACCTTGTATTTATCATGCTGAATTGTCCTCAAACTGTATAATTTACCTATTTATTCTGAAGACATATATAGAAACCAATTTTGAAAGAAAATTCAAAGGGCTGTAACTTTTGAACTAGTAGCCCAATCTTGGAACGGTTTAAAATTATGGATTCTACAGGCCACGTTCTATAAGGAAACTTTTTTTCCGGGTCGATCTGAGACAATTTTTTTTTCGGGCAAAAAAAAGGCAGTTCCTTTTTTCCAAAAATCGACTGCACCAAAATTTCTCAGGACAACACTTTTTCTTATTAATTTTGGTGCGTAGAATCCAAAACAATTCGTACTTTTTCGATCAGACTTCTCTATCAAAGGTTATAGACTAGAAACCAATTTCGAAAAAAAATTCAAAGGGCTGTAACTTTTGAACTAGTAGCCCAATCTTGGAACTGCTTGAAATTATGGATTCTACAGGCCACATTCTATAAGAAAACTTTTTTCCGGATCGATCCGAGACAATTTTTTTTTCGGGGTTCAAAAAATGGCAGTGTATAACCTTCCTTTTTTTACCAAAAATCGACTACACCAAAATTTCACGGGAAAACACTTTTTCTTATTAATTTTGGGGCGTAGAATCCAAAATAATTCGTACTTTTTCGATCAGACTTCTCAATCAAAAGTTATAGACTAGAAACCAATTTCGAAAAAACATTCAAAGGGCTGTAACCTTTGAACTAGTAGCCCAATCTTGGAACTGTTTGAAATTATGGATTCTACAGGCCCCATTCTATAAGAAAACTTTTTTCCGAGTCGATCCGAGACAATTTTTTTTTCGGGGTTCAAAAAAAGGCAGTGTATAACCTTCCTTTTTTACCAAACATCGACTACACCAAAATTTCACGGGAAAACACTTTTCCTTATTAATTTTGGGGCGTAGAATCCAAATCAATTCGTACTTTTTCGATTAGACACCTCAATCGAAAGTTATAGACTATGACACTCAAATTGATTTTCTACATTCCAATGTATTAAGCCTTTATTCAGAAGTGCCCTTTTTGTATGTTCGGATCAGAATGACTCATACTGTAGTGGTTTTTGGTACCTTTACCAAAGTTCGCTCCAAAGCATTGCAAGCCGTGTTTAGACCATTCGCCTTATTCTAGTCCTTTGGAGACTACCTTCAATCCCTTCAGATACCTTGGTCGGCTCGATCCAAAGTAAAAATTTCTAGTTCTTTCCATATTTGCATAAACACAACTTACTACAAATCTTGACCTTTCAAACATTCCTCAGACGAACATTGACTCATCTCAGAGCATCTTTGTGATACTTCAAAGCTTTCTACTCAAATTGCGACTCTCTGTCTACTAAACACAGCCTGCGTTTTACTCGAAATGCACGCCGTTACCTGTTATCTCCAGACATTCTTTCGTTCAAGTTTACTGTGAAGCGGTATATTTTCCTGTGTTGAAATAAATCCAAATTTGAAGCAGGTCTATTGTATTCTATTCCACCCGACTAAGTCACACCAAAAGCTCATTGCGCCTACCTCCCTTCTTTCGCAATTAATTTCAGAACCTGTTCCTCTCAATAGTCCGGTAGTTTCATCTGCCTCGCCACAGAACCTGCAACTTTGGGTGCTCCACAACATCTAGGCTTCTTCTCGAATAACCTTTCAAATGAGTTATCAAGCGAGGGAACAGAATAAAGTCCGGAGAAGCCAGGTCAGGACTATGGCTTGTTTGACTGTGATTGAATGAGTATGTTCTCGACATAGTTTATTGACGGTCACGTTCTAATGTAGGTATTTGGTTTTTTGGTTTCAAGTTTGGTTCTAAAAATTATTATTAGGATCACAGAAGAGTGAGAAGCTGTATAGCTGTCATTATGATTTCCTTATAATTAGAAATGAACTTCTTGATTTTTCCTTCTCTTCTGTGAATATGGCGCAATAATTTTCGAAAAACTTCAGGAGAACAGAGTAAAGAAGTGCTAAGGATATGGAGTTGATTCAACTACAGTGCTTCCTAAATTTAATCAAAATCGAGCTTCTTAAACGATCCGTCCTTGCCTATTCCCAAATCTAGATCCATATACGACTGGCGACGGTCGCGCAGTCCTTCGTTCGAAATGAACGTTTCCTGTTCGACAAAGAAATCCGCCGATTCAACGAAGGACTTCTGCATCCTCTCTAAATACCAAATCTGTACTCATCGGTCATCCCACAGGTGTCGCTTACCGTGCAGCTCTCTGCTGGTCGGAGCTTTCCCTCCCGCATCCTCTGGAAGGAATTCCAGGGGCACGTACTGTCCTAAGGTTTCATAGTGGCCGTGGAAGCGCAGCTGAAATTAGAAAGTGGATGAGTGCACCTAGTCGACGGGCTCACCAAGTTCGCCAGTTCCTTCTTCATAAACGGTTTAAATAGGGGTACCACTAGGTCGGACATTGCTGGTATCGTTACGCAGTGGAGGCCTTTCATCCTGACTGGTAGCGCCTCCTACACGCAAAGCATAAGCCTACCATCAGATTGTCAGCTCTCACCTGCAGATACAGCAGAATCCTCCGCATTGTTGTGATCTGAGTTTTCAAAACATGTCCCACTCCAATATTTCTGAAGTCGCAAATGATCACGTATCCTTCAAACGTGCCATACTGCATCACTTCCAGGGTGACACCCATGTCGAAGACTTTGAAGCAATTCGACGCCACATACCTGTCGACGTCGGAATTCATAAACTTGCAGTAGATGATTTTGTAGTTTTCCACGGTTCTGCTTGGTAAAATCGCGCACAACCTACAAATTGAGGCTTACTCCAAAGTGTGAGTTAGGAATGGTGCATATTACGACACTTCCATGGCGCTCCTCACTTTGGGATCGTTCGGGTTTCGATTCGCGAAGAACTCTCTCCATGCACTCCTGTAAGTTAGGAACTTTTCAATTGCGACCTTGGTCTGCTGCATGCTCCAATAGCAGCTATGGAGGAAAATCGCTAGCTGCAAGTCTGAAATTAACCGTCGCAAGTTGGCTCCAAACAAAACTGCCACCCTTACCAGAAACTGGAGGAAAGTGCGGTTGTTTCAGAACCCACTCCTTCAAAGACTGCACGTTTTCCTCGCGCAAATCCTGGTTTTTCGCGTCCTCTTCTTCCAAGGTTGTCCATTTCATCTTTTCAAATTGCTTACTGCGTTTCTCAAGGAAAATGAGGTCATACCTGGGTATCTAAGTGATGATTTACGTATAAATGCGACTATGTGCAGTTTCCCGTGATTTATTTGATTTGCAAAATAGTAAGTACTTACAATAAAATTAGCATTCAAAGGCGAGGCTGTGGATAGGAACAGAAGCGCACAAGTTTCATTGACTTTCGGTGTCGAAATACGAATTCCAATCAGCTCCTATTTTCTACTACTTTGAATACCTTTTGAAAACCTCAAATAGGAAAAAAAATCCCGAGCAAATCACCCCCGGTCCAAAACCGCCCTGGTAACAAATGACCTCTGGACAGTAAATCCCCCGAACAATTTGATACCTATCCACTACAGGAAAATTAAGGCCTTCAAATAATCGGCTGAGTGTCCCGCTACAACTGGGCCCCAACCAAAAGAAATTAGCATGAAAACATTAGAACAGGTGAAACAAATTTATTAGACAAAATGAGTCAAATAAAACTGAAATAAAAATAGACACTCAGGACCAAAATACACATACCACGCAACAAGCGATCGATTGAAACAATCAATTACAGACAATTGAATTACCTGAACGTGTTAATAACTCAAAGTATCCGATCTGAAATTGCGCTTTCTATATAACTGACACTTTCAACTACCATCGACTGCGATACACTAAAATCCTCCACCACTAAAAAAGCAACTATTAACGTCCACCACCAAACAAGCCACGATTAAAGTCCGTCTCTCCTATTTAAAACGACATTTTAGTGGCGAAACCTGCTTATCTTCAAAATGGTAAACGCAGCGATAAACCTTATCGTAGCGACCGGAGATAAATCTTTACAAATACTACGCAAATATTTCCAGATGTTCCTTTTCTTACTAACACAACACAAAATAACTTAATTGCGATTGCTTCGAGCCCGAGACAGAGAGCCTTAGCTTCTTATCGAGATCGTTTTCTTATCAGAAATGAGCATGAACAATTTTTGAAGTTTAGAGGCGATTAGAATGTGTTCAATAATTTTCTTCAGCGCAATCTTGAAAAATTGAAAGTTTTCCATAGTTTTCCAGACATTCCAAAGCAGTGTAGCCCTTTTTCAGGGCTTCCTAGTGAGTTGGGTATTCTGGCAGGAATTCTCTTGAAGAAAGGGTAAAGGAAAATACAATTACCCTTTCTTGCAATCATTATGCGATCATTCGTCTTCCGGACGTTTTATTGAACTTCAGCACCAAGACTGTGTCAGGGTGGTTGGCTCATGGGGGCAACGCGACGTCAGGGGCCAAGCGTCTCAGATCGAAGGGAATTACTCCAGGGTATATCTCAGGTCAGCCAAAGGAGAGGCATGGAAGTTCTGGAGCACCCAAAGTCGCGGGTGCATTACGACCCTATGGGAAAGTCGCTGCAGCAGAGCTCACGGTAGCAATAGTTCCGGAATCGCACCCGGAGAGCAATTTTTGACGAGATGGAGGGGGTGGGGCGCTTTTCTCGGCAGGAAGGGCTCCGGTGGGATCCGCAGAGAGTTAATCTGGTCGAATGTCTCCTTTATTAGGCCCTAGGGTGCCGCGGCTCTGAAAGTTCAGAGATCTCCCGGGTAAAACATTCTGAGACTGTTACCGGTTACAGTTCCATTGCCATTTTTAGAAAGCCACCTTAAGGGTACTGACGTTCTGGAAATCGTCTTCGATTTTTTCGTTTCCTGGAGGGTATTCCTTACCGCGCACACCCCCAGTGCTACGTTCTGTACGGAATGGGAAAGAGGGCCTCATAATCATTCCCTAACAGCCATCAAGCGAGCCTTGGAAGCCTAAAAATTTGTGGAAAAGGTGTTACCGAGGGTCTGGGGGGTATGGAATCCCCCCGCCCCCTCCCCGTATCCCCGTACATCCAGTTCCATTGTTCTTTCTCTGTCATTGTCTTCGATTTTTTCATTTTCTGGAAAAAATTTCCTTATCCCCCTTACCCCCACGTTGCAACGTTCACTACAGTATGGCGAAGAGAGCTTCATAAACCTTCCCCAACAGCAGTCCTGAATCCTAAAAGGTTTGTGGAAGAGGGTGTCATCGGGGAGCCTGCACGTAACACACATTTCCATTCCCATTTGTAGAATACCTCCATGAGGGTGCGGATGCTCTAGAAATTGTCATTGATTTTATCATTTTTTCGGGGGTATCAAACCTGGAGAGTGTATAATACTTCCCCCCCCCCCAAGTACACACCACAGTTCAATTGTCATTTCTAAAACTCCACCATAAGGGTACTGATGTTCTGGAAATTCAATTTTTTCGATTTCTGGGGTGGACCTCTCGGTACGTTCTCTACAGTAGAGAGATGAGGGTCTCATTATTATTCTCCAACAGTCCTGAAACCTAAACGGTTGGTGAAAGAGAGTGTTGCCGGGGGGTCTGGGGGTATGGAACACCTCTCAGTGCAGTCACAGGGTGCTGATCTTCTCTAAATTGTCATCGAGTTTCTCGTTATACCCCCAGACCGTCCTGTAAAACGTTCTCTACAATATGGAGAAGAGGGCCTCATTATCCTTCCCCAAGAGCTGTCAATGAAGTATTGAAGCCTAATCGATTAGTGAAAGAGGGTATTACCGGGTGGTCTGTGGGGGGTGTAGAATACGCCCCAGTACACACAATTCCATTGCCATTTGTAGAACGCCACCATAAGGGTAATGATGTTCTGGAAATTGTCTTTGATTTTTTCGTTTTTTGGAGGGTATTCCTTACTCCCCAGACCCCCTGGTGCAATGTTCACTACACTATGGAGAAGATCCTAAAAGATTTGTGGAAGAGAGTATTACCGTGAGTCTGGGGGGTATCGAATACGAAATAAAATAAATAAATAAATAAATAAATAAATAAATAAATAAATAAATAAATAAATAAATAAATAAATAAATAAATAAATAAATAAATAAATAATTAAATAAATAAATAAATAAATAAATAAATAAATAAATAAATAAATAAATAAATAAATAAATAAATAAATAAATAAATAAATAAATAAATAAATAAATTGCCTTTAAGGAAATTTTAAGAGCTTTTCAAAAGAGTTTCTTATATAAACCTTTTTGACTAATTCCTACACAAGAAGGTATAGCCCAAAGTATTGCTTTTCCTATGGAAATTTATTTTTGTCCATAACCTTTGAATCCTAAATACCTACTACGGCCGTTTTGAGTTCTACAGTATCGGATTTTGATTTTCCCATTCTGAAACGTGGATTTCTAAATCCCAGTTTTCAGTCCTCGGGCCTTACTTCGCAATCTCATACTGTGGATTTTGAATTCAACCTTGCAAAATGAACTGCAAAATAAAATCCTAAACGCCGAGCCCAATTTTGAGTCTCCCTATTCCAATTATCTAGAAACCTGAAATTTTGGCCCCAAATTTCATTCGCCCAATACTGAACCTGAACGGATTTGAGATTTGATTTTCTCTTCCCCAATCCTAAATTCTGGTTCTCCATGATCTTCAAGATCTTTTCACAGTTCAGTTAATGGTAAGAACATTCCTACTACTGGAATTGGAGCAAATTTATGGAGACCCAAAGTTTCCCAACTATTAAAAGTATACAAGAACGGTGTGACCGCGTTATTTTTCCATAAAACTTGGTCAGGAAGTCCTGAGCCTTCTAAGTTTCTAAAACTGAACAGACGCCCTTACCTGGCACAACATTGGGCTTGGAGGGGAGCCCACGTAGAGGTTCTGTGGCGAGGCAGATGAAACTACCGAGCAGGTGTCACTGTGACGCCTTGATCCGAAGCAGACATCAGATCGCCTGAACCTGGTTGCGAAAGGAAGGGGTTAGGAACAACGAGCCTTTGGAGTACCTAAGTTCTGCCTGGCCGGACTCCCCTGTGGAAACATGGAATACCACGTCACGTGGGAACACTTCTAGGCCTTCAACTTTGTAACGTTCACGTCGTCCTCGTTCCAATGCTATTTGCCCAACATTAATGAGAAGAGAATTTATTTAAAACTGATCGCGTTGGATCACAAGATCCATTAACAACAACAAATTTAGCCTAGTCAAAGTCGAGCTTCTTGAAGGACCCATCCGTTCCGATTCCCAAATCTCGATCCATATACGATTGCTTCCGATCGCGGAGCTTCTCATTTGAGACCAGCATTTCCTCATCCAAAAAGAAATCCGCATTCTCGGTGAAGGATTCCTGCATCTTCGCTGAAATGACGATTTCTTACGGCGGATCATCGCGAGAATCGCTCACCGTGCAACTCCTTGACGGAAGGGGCTTTGCCTCCGTAGTCTTCCGGTAGCAGCTCGTGGGGTACGAATTTGGATAACGTTTCGTAAGAGTCGTGGAAGTGCAACTGAAAGCGAAGGAATGTGAAAGCTGACCTGCGCTATGGACTTACCAAATGGGCGAGCTCCTTCTTCATGAAGGGCTTTACGAGCGGGACCAGTAGGTCGCAAACGGACGCTAATGTTATGTAATGGAGACCTTTTAGCCTAATTGGTATGGCTTCCTGTGCACAAAGAGTGGTAGTACCTGAAGCTGCTGCCGATCACTTACCTGCACATACAGTAAAATCCTCTTCATCGTCGTGATGTGCGTTTTCAAAACGTGTCCAACCGTAAAAGCCTTCAAATCGACGACTATAACTAAACCATCAAACGAACCTCTTTCCATAAACTCCAATGAGATCGCCATATCGAAGAGCTTTACACAATCCGATACTGCGTACTTGTTAACATCTACGTCCACCAGCTTGAAGTACAACAGTTTGTAATTTTCCGGAGTTCTCTCAGGCAAAAAGGAACAAAGCCTACAGTTTGAGTTAATTAATCATTCGCAAGTCATCGATAGAGGGCCAATTACGAAACTTTCATGTCGTTCTGTAGTTTGGGATCGCGCGGGTCTCTGTTCGCGAAGAAATCACCCCACGCGCCTCTGTAAGTGAAGAACTTCTCGATCGTGACCTTGGCCTGCTCCATGCTAAAGTGGCAGCTGTGCAAAAAGAGCGCCAGCTGAAAATCTGAAAAACACAGGTTTTGCCAGGAGACATCAGTTCGTTAATCGTACCCGAAACGTGTGGGAGATGCGGTTGCTTCCGAACCCATTCCTGGAGGGCTTTCATGTCGTCCGCGCGCAACTCCTTGTTTTTCTTGTACTCATCTTCAACGGTGGCCACCATCGTGCCTACTCTGCCACCTCTTCAAATGCCAGACCTTATATATTCGCTTGGTAGGATTTGAAGTTGTTTACTTGTAAAGCAATTGCAAAATAGATAAGTAACAACCAAACTCGTGAGAACTTATGTACCTACCGTAAGTAGTGGCATTGCCACTAAGTAATTATTATACAATCTCGCTCGCCTTGCCCGAACCATTTACAAGTTTCATGGGAAAATGACACGGTCACACTGTGCTTGTATACTTTTAATAGTTGGGAAACTCTGGGTCTCCATAAAGTGTGAAAAGATCACCTACGTATGGGGAACCAAAATTTAGGATTGGGGAAGAGAAAAACAAATCTCAAATCCGTTCAGGTTCAGTATTGGGCGAATGAAATTTGGGATCGAAATTTCAGGTTTCCAGATCGGAATAGTGAGACTCAAATTTGGGCTCGGCGTTTAGGATTTAATTTTGCAGTTCATTTTGCAAGGTTGTAAAATATGCTTTCAAAATCCGCAGTATGAGATTACGAAGTAAGGCCCGAGGGTTGAAAACTGGGATTTAGAAATCCAGTTTTCAGAATGGGAAAATCAAAATCCGATACTGTAGAATTCAAAACGGCCCGAGTAGGTATTTAAGATTCAAAAGTTATGGACAAAAATAAATTACCAAAGAAAAAGGAATACTTTGGGCTATAGCTTCTTGTGTAGGAATTTGTCAAAAAGGCTAATATGAGAAACTGCTTTGAAAAGCTCTTGAAGTTCCCTTAAAGCTCTTAAATCGAACTGTCTAAAAGCTACACATGATGCCATCTATCAAAGGAAATTGAAGTTCTGGTGCTACAAAGTCCAGTGTAGGTTTTCGTGTTCCAGACCCCCGGTAACACTCTCTTATACTAACCGTTTAGGTTTCAGGCCTCGCTTGACAGTAGCTGGGGTACGCTTAGGGGGCCCTCTACTCTATACTGTATCGAGTACCTCCTGAAAATGAAAAAAATCGACGACAATTTCCGGAACATCTGTTTGATACCCTTATGGTGGTGGTGAAATTGCAATGGAACTGGGTGTACTTACTATCCTTCGCTAACCGTATAAGCTTTAGGACTTGATTGACAGCTGTCGGGGAAGGTACCCCCCCCAGACTCACGACAATACCCTCTTCCACAAACCTTTCAGGATTGAGGACGCGATTGACTGCCGTTGGGGAAGGATTATCAATCTCTTTTCTTCATAGTATAGTAACCGGCATTATGGCTCAATGGTAGAGCGTTGAGTTATAAATCCGGAGGTCGGGTGTTCGAACCTGGGTTGAAGTGAATTTTTCATCTGTGGCAGAGATGGAAATTACCTTTCACCAGTTTCGAGCATTCTGCCGGCTACTCCGAATTACCTGCAGTTTTCCTAATTCGTAAGGTAAATACCGGAGTAGTATAGAACAACTTAAGACCTTCTGCAGAGGTACCTCTAAAAAGCATTATGCGGGTCACTCTGTAATTGGGCGCAAGCCTGTTGAGGGCCCAGAACAGGAGAGGGATAATAAATAAAAAATAAATATGGCGTTCTACAAATGTCAATGGAACTGTGTGTACGGTGGGGGGGGGGGACTGTGGGAGAACTGTTGGAGAAGAATAATAAGGCCCTCATCCCTCTACTGTACAGAACGTCGTACCGGGAGGTATGGGTGGTATGGGATACCTCCCCACAAAACGAAAAAATCGATGACAATAATTACCATCATTACCTCATGGAGGTATTCTCTTTTCCATTCAGAACGTAGCACTGGAAGGTCTGGGGGGTAAAGAATACCCTTCAGAAAACGAAATAAGTGAAGACAATTTCCAAACGTCAACACCCTTATGGTGGTGTTCTAGAAATGACAATGGAACTGTGTGTACAGGGTTGGGAGGGGGAGGGGGTGTACTTCATACCCTCCAGACCCCCCGGTAACACAATCTTCCACAAAGCTGTTAGGCTTCAGGGCTCGCTTGACAGCTCTTGGGGAAGGATTATGAAGCCATCTTCTCCATACTGTAATGAACATTGCACCACCGTGAGGTCTGGGGGGTAAGGAATACCCTCCAGAAAACGAAAAAATCGAAGACAATTTCCAGAACATCGGTACCTTTATGGTGGTGTTCTAGAAATTGTAATGGAATTGTGTGTACTGGGGATATTGGAATACCCCCCAGACTCCCAGTAACACTTTCTTCCACAAACCTTTTAGGCAACGTACGACGTGAGAGTCACCCATAAAACGAAAAAATTGATAACATCAGTACCCTTATGGTGTTGCTCTAGAAATGGGGATGGAATTGGGTGTACTGGGTACCCCACAATAACCGTATAGGCTTCAGGACTTGCTTGACAGCTGTTGGAAAGGTATTCCATCCCCTCCCTCTTCCAAACCCCTCGGTAACACTCTCTTTCACAAACGATTTAGGATTCAGGACTCGAGCGACAGCTGTTGGGGAAAAATTTCGAAACCCTCTTCTGCATTGCATAGTGAAACTTGCACAGGGGGTATACGGGATAAAAAACACTGAAGCTTTATTCCGATTTAAATATTTGCCAATTCTGTATCAGGAGGATATAAGGTGCGAGGAGGTCTTTCAGTTTTTAGACACCTGTTATTTTTCGATAAACTTATGTAAAATTTATCTGGCTACTAAGAGAACATAATGGCCGAAGAGGTCCTTTTCTATGACTATGAGAATTATTTCAAAGCTTTATTTCGATTTAAAAATTTGTCATTCTCTATCAGGAGCATATCATGTGCGAGGAGGTGTTTCTTTTCCTAATACTACACCTGTTACTTGTCGACAAACTTATGCAAAAGGTGTCGTGTTACTAGGAGAACATAATACACGAAGAGGTCCTTTTCTAGCTTTGTTAGAATTATTCCAAAGCTTTCATTCGATTTAAAAATTTGCCAATTCTGTATCAGGATCATATGAGTGCGAGGAGGTGTTTCTTTTCCTAATACTACAACTGTTACTTGTCGAAAAACTTATGCAAAAGGTGTCGTGCTACTAGGAGAACATAATATACGAAGAGGTCTTTTTCTAGCTCTGTCAGAATTATTTCAAAGTTTCATTCGATTTAAAAATTTGCCAATTCTGTATCAGGATCATATGAGTGCGAAGAGGTGTTTCTTTTCCTAATACAACATCTGTTATTTGTCGACAAACTTATGTACATACAATTTTTCTTGCTACTAGGAGAACATAATGCACGAAGTGGTCTTTTTCTATCGCTATGAGAATTATTTCAAAGGTTTATTTCGATTTAAATATTTGCTACTTCTGTATCAGGAGGATATAATGTGCGAGGAGGTGTTCTTAATACACCCCCCCCACCCCCCGCCCCCAATTACCTCCAGGTGACCCTCTCTATCACAAACCGTTTAGGCTTTCTTGACAGCTGTTGGTGAGCGCTTAGCTTAGAGCCCCCCCCCCTCCGCCTATAAACAATAAGAAAGACGATGACCAGGACATCGGTACCCTTATGGTGGTGTTCTAGAAATGGAAATGGGACTTGGTAGTTGGTGCACTGGGGAGTATGGAATACGCTCTTCCACAAACTTTACAAGATTCAGCAATCGATTGACAGGGCAGGACTGTGAGAAAATCTTCTTCATTTTCTTGAGAACGTTGCACCGAGGGGTCTGGGGGAGAGAACCAAAAAAATCGATAACAATTTCCAGAACATTAGGGTTGTTTTCTACAAATGGCAATAGAACTGAGTGGTATTTCATACCCCCTAGACCCGCCCCAGTAACACTCCCATCCACTAACCGTTTAGCATTCAGGACATGATTGACAGGGGCCGAGGAAGGACCATGAAACCCTCTTCTCGATACTGTAGAGAATGTTTCACTGAGGAGCCTAACCTAAGTCGAGAACTTCAAGGAATCTAGGTGTATTTCCGCGGTGAGAGTTTCCAGAAGCATTTAGGGGTGTTCTGGGGGCAACCCCTCGATCTCACCAATTTATGTCGGGCTCACTTTGAAATAGTTGTGACTCCTAAACGCTACATGACAAAGGATATCTTCCGATTGTGGAAGATCGGAACTGATTTGAATTCGTATTTCGACAACGAAAGTAAACAACCTTTTTGCACTTGTATCTTTGAGTGTCCTTATTATTGTCCAAATCAAGTAAGCCGGAACGACTCATTTAACTATTTTCACATAGTTTCATTTTTATGTAGACGAGATTATTTAAAATAAGTCGCACATAACATAATTATGCAGTATGCAATTTGAAGATGATGAAGTGCAAGTGTTTGAAAGGTCAAGATTTGTAGTAAGTTGTGTTTATGCAAATATGGAAAGAACTAGAAATTTTTACTTTGGATCGAGCCGACTAAGGTAACTGAAGGGATTGAAAGTAGTCTCTAAAGGACTACGATAAGTCGAATGGTCTAAAAACGGCTTGCAATGCTTTGGAGCGAACTTTGGTAAAGGTACCAAAACCACTGCAGTATGAGTCATTCTGATACAAACATACAAAAAGGGCACTCCCGGATAAAAGCTTAATACATTGGAATGTAGAAAATCAATTTGAGTGTCATAGTCTACAACTTTTGATTGAGAAGTCTAATCGAAAAAGTACGAATTGTTTTGGATTCTACGCCCCAAAATTAATAAGAAAAAGTGTTTTCTCGAGAAATTTTGGTGTAGTCGATTTTTTGGTAAAAAAGGAAGGTTGTACGACGCCTTTTTTGCCCGAAAAAAAAAATTGTCCAGATCGAACACGCGAAAAAAATTTTCTATAGAATGGGGCCTGTTAGATTCCATAATTTCAAACAGTTCCATAGATTGGGCTACTAGTTCAAAAGTTACAGCCTTTGAATTTTTTTTTCTAAATTGTTCTAGTCTATAACTTTTTATTGAGAAGTCTGATTGAAGGTACGGGGGGGAATTTAATTGGAATTATAAACGCCCCCAAAAAAAACCCCCAAAAAAAAATTTTAATAAGAAAAAGTGTTTTCCCGAGAAATTTTGGTGTAGTCAATTTTTGGTAAAAAAGGAAGGTTATACACTGCCTTTTTTTGAGCCCCCGTAAAAAAATTGTCTCAGATCGACGCGGGAAAAAAATTTTCTTATAGAATGTGGCCTGTAGAATCCATAATTTCAAACAATTCCAAGATTGGGCTACTAGTTCAAAAGTTACAGCCCTTTGAATCTTCTTGCGAAATTGGTTTCTAGTCTATAACCTTTGATTGAGAAATCTAAACGAAAAAGTACGAGTTGTTTTGGATTCTACGCCCCAAAATTAATAAGAAGTGTTTTTCCGAGAAATTTTGGTGTAGTCGATTTTTGGTAAAAAAGGAAGGTTGTACACTGCCTTTTTTTTTGGCCCGAAAAAAAAATTGTCTCAGATCGACCCGGAAAAAAAAATTTCTTATAGAATGGGGCCTGTAGATTCCATAATTTCAAACAGTTCCAAGATTGGGCTACTGGTTCAAAAGTTACAGCCCTTTGAATCTTCTTCCGAAATTGGTTTCTATATATGTCTTCAGAATAAATATGTAAATTATACAGTTTGAGGACAATTCAGCATGATAAATACAAGATTTCTCACTTAGTTTAGAAAACAAGGTCAAGTAGGTAGTTTGAATGAATAATTGCTTCTCACAAAAATAGCTATTCAATTCGAGTACGTTGCACAGTCCCACCCTTCAAGAATTACCGTACGGAATGGACGATGAAAACGTAGCTTTGGAGTACCGAAAACATAAAGAGTTGCGCGAAGAGGACATACAAAGTTTGAAGGAATGGTACGCGAAGCAGGTCCATCTGCCGCCCATTTCAGGTTTGATCGATCGACGCAAGTGCCCGCGCTCATTTGATCCGCTCTTCCAGAGATGCACCTCATCGTTTTCCTGCACAGCTGCTACTGGAGCATCGAGAGTGCAAAGTCGACGCTAGAGCGATTTTTCACGTACAGAAACGCGTGGCCCGAGTTTTTCGCCGGCACGGATCCGCGAAGGCCGAAGATGCTGTCGGATATGGAAGTGGTGTAACTGCGAACGTATTAATCGCCGGAAAAGGGTACTTTATTGGGTTGTTTTAGGCTGTACGCGTTTCTTCCCAAAAGGACTCCGGAGAACTACAGGGTGTTCTATATCAAATTACTTGATCATGACCTCAGCAGGTACATCCTCAAGGACCAGCTGAAGATTATGGATATGGTCCTCGTAGTTGACATACTAAGGAGCGGCACCAGTGATGGTTTGGTAATCGTGTGCGATTTTGAGGATGCCACTGTAGGCCATGTTTTGAAGACACACGTAACCGAAGTGAAGAAGTTCCTAACTTACCTACAGGAGGCACTACCAGTGCGCCTCAAAGGTCTCTACTATACCAACTTGGGACCCATAGCTGACCTTTTGAAGGGATTAATTAAACCTTTAATCAACAAGAAACTTTTGGAATGTGTAAGTGTCCGATTTACAATCACCCCAGCTCACTCTCGCCTTTTCAGTTGCACTTTACCGACTCGTTTGAGGGCGTACTTAAATTCGTACCACAGGGGTGTTTTCCCAAAGAGTTTGGAGGAACCGCGCCTTCTATTTACGATCTTCACGGTATTGAGGCGAATTTTATCCCCTTGCTTTGTCAATCTCGTGATTTTTCAGTCGAAATGCAAGATTTGCTCTTAAGTAACGTGCAGTTCTTCATCGAATCGGAGAAGATGATCACGGATGAATCGAGTCGCGATAGAAGACCATCGTACATGGATCGGGATTTGGGGATTGGCGCGGTCGGATCGTTTAAACGACTGGAATTTGATTAGTTTATTTTGACGGTATATTAAATGGTGACCTTTGGTGGTGGTGTGGTATTTTTGCATTTAATCCGCAATACACATTACACAAGTAATTTTTTCAAGAGGATTGTCGTTTGAAACCTACATGGGCCCATAACCCCTACCCCTACATAAACATTCATATATATATATATATATATATATAGAATATATATATCGCCCTGACTTTGGTTTGATTCGTAGAGTGGGAATTAATCAATCGAATTAACGATTAAGGATGGCCGTTTACGTTAAGAATTCGCTATTCTGTAGGAGTTATTAGTTAAAATAAATGAAGAGGGAGATAGTAAGAAGACATTTTTTATTCATTCGTATTTGGGGGTGGAAGTGTTAATTGTACTATTTGTAAAACACTGACACTTTTTGAATGGGGTCCTTGAACTATCCCAAGAATTTCCTGGCATTTTTCAAACCCTTTTCTAAACAATTGAGCTCTCTATAAAGCCCTTCCGTAACACTAAATATACTTTTGAAAGATCTGCCAATACATCCCACACCTTCCTGCATATCTGTGACCCTGATACAATCGTCTCTGTACAAGAAAAATTTATATCAGAAGGAAATGATAGGATTGGTATTAAGAGAACATAATATCAAAAAAGGTAAGTATCTGAAAATAAATCAATGTCCCCCTACGACCGTGGTGAAATTTCCGCCAGTAGATCCATGATCTTGTCTTTCCTGATAAGATCATTGAATTGAATGAAACACTTGCACAATAGATATATAGTCATATTAGGCCGAATCTGGCTCAGTTCAAAGTCGCTCGCCACCTAGCGGTGACTTTGGAAATTAGGTCAAGGTAACAAAAGTTCAAAGGTTGCATGCCACATGGCAGTGATCTTGGAAAGTAGGTCAAGGTGGTGCTCACGGGCATTCGCTTTCAAGGTCAGGCAGTAGTGATATATACCGTTCAAGGCTAAGGTGAAGTTCAAAGGTCACTCTCTCCCCGTTCTCCTCTAGTAGTGACCTTGGACAGTAAGTCAAAATAGAGCTGAAAGATCTCTCGCCTCCAAAGGTTTTTGTTGGTTCTATTGTATTCTATCTACACGGGGTCCGACCAGGCAGCTCTTAGGCACACCAAAGGCCCATTGTGCCATACCTCCATTCTTTCGTAACTAGTTTCAGTGCCTGTTCAGTCCTTCGATCGCCATCTTTTAACTGCATTCTTAGACCTAGGAGATCCCTGAAACAGAAATCAGCAATTAATAGATAAGACTCGAATCGTCTATCCACATAAATGCAAGTCCTAGGATTTCGATGGCTCTGTAGAAGGTTACCTCGTCCCTCACTAACGTACTAGGTTCCCCCCTCCCCTAACGATGCCGCCTGTTCTGACCCTTTGTTGGAGCCAGTAGTAATCTCGACGTCCCTTCGAGGGATTCACCCCCCCCCTCCTGCCCTTCTCATCGCTTTTCAATGGAAGGAAATCTCGGAATTTTGAAAATTGGAAAACTGTTCCTTAATATCTAAGTTTCAAGAAAATAAAAAGTCCTTATGGGAGGGGGATGAGCTGGAGCTGTAGGTAAATTGAGCAATAAGATAAAAACATATATCAGAGTCAAACATAACAATTTATTTAAATAACATTCAAATATAACAGTAAACAATTGTAAATATATTCTCTAAAACTAAAACAACATGGAACACTTAGGACTTAACCCTTTTTAACTTTGGGGTCGTCTTTGAGCACGTCAAACTTTTCGGGGGCGTACTTTCGCAGCGTCCCGTCCAGCAAACGATCGATCAGATGATCTATGGGCTTAATAATGAATGGAATCATTGTCAGTCCAATCCCGGTTACTATCCACTTTTTCGTCGTCGACGGTAAAGTTCGATTGTACGTCAGGAGATAACCGGCGGCCGCACATGTTCGATTAATCGTAATGCCCGGCACGACGACGGAGGCGAGCATCTGCCACGCGAACGTGTCGAACGCGACGAAGCTCACCGTCTTCGGATCGCCGCGGTGCTGTATCTGAAAATTCGGTTGCATGATAACGCTTGAAGGAAAAGATGGGGGTTACGTGAGCATCTTTGGTCTTGCTGGCGGTGTCGGCTAGGACGTAGGTGGTGGCGACACCATAAGTGACCGCAACCCATTTCGGGCCGATCATGGAACGAAAGGCCTCACCGATTTCATTTGCATATCCTGTACTTTGGGGGGTTAATTGTAAGCGAATTTTACGTTTCTTACCTAAATAACGTATGGGGGTGTCTCGATAGATATCAATTTCTCCGGAATGAGACATTGGAAGGTTTTACAAGTTGAGGTTAGGTCCCAGGAAATTTTGAAGGTTAGGAGATAATGGTCGCATTCATCAAGTTTGTTTTTTTTCGGGAATGCAGTGGCAGTCCTACGTTTCGTTTACTTTACTTTATAAAGGGTGGCATTGTCCCTCGTACTTCTTAATACCATACAAATTGAGGGTTTTGTGTAAAATTGAAAAGCTTTTTGACCTTTCTTAAGACCCATTTCAAGTACATTTTAGAGCGGATCGAGCCTATCCAACTCACCCCTGGGTCCTTTGTCCAAATCTCAAATTACACCTTTCTATCATTCCCTAGGCTCATCAGTTTATCTGCTACTCCTCCCAGAAATTCATTGAGAGGTGCCTTAGATAAATTTCAAAAACAAAGATTGAAACACACAAAATGTATAACATGCGGCATATAAAACACAAATACGATTATAAAGAAATGCAAAAATTACTACCTGCATCTGTCAGCTGAACACATTCTATGTGGTTGCGAGGCTGCTGTCGAGCAAAGGCTAAATGACCTCGGGGAGACCGGGCAACTAGACTTCAGAGCAGTACTTAGCTTCTTCAATCGGATAAAACGAGTAACAGCAGTAGGTGCTAAAGAGATATAGTGCCTACCTTCACACAGAAAATAAAGCAATCGATCAAAATTGTCCCTAGCGTAGAACGTGTTCTAACCCGCCACTGGTGTGTGCCTGTGTTTGTGTTTTTTTTTAATGTAGGCAACACTGTAACAGCTGTCAGTCAAGGACGTTTTTGTTTTGGCGGTTGAAGTTGTGGACAATTAGGTTAGAATGCCTTAAAAAATGTATTTGGAAAATTTGAAAACGGAATTTTACGAATTTCTCACAGGAAAGGTACGTCCCACTTGCACTTTCCTTCCATTTCCCAACAATCGTCACTTTCAGCGAATCTGCCTCATCGTTAACTTCGACATCGACAGCATCTGTACCTGCAAAATCCTCCAGTCTCTGCTGAAGTACAAGCAAATCACTTACACCCTCGCCGTCGTCCAAGGTATCAGCGATCTTAAAGGTGTCTACCAGGAAAACGCCGATCAAGTGAAGTGCTTCGTCCTGATCAACTGCGGCGGCACGATCGATCTAATCGACGTTTTGGAGCCCGAAGACGACGTTATATTTTTCGTGCTCGACTCGCACAGGCCGACAGATCTTTGCAATATATACAGTAACGGGCAAATTCGGTTGCTGTGGAGTCCCGATGACGATAGCGATGTACCCGAGTTTCCAGACATCTTCCGCGAGGACGAGGTACGCCTTTTCACTAGCACTGCGACACGGAGGGGGGTTCACGTAATATATTTGTTTACAGTCGGACGAGGAGGACGACGAGGAGAATTTGGACGAGAGCGGCGACGAGGCGGAGGGCCGAGCCGCCAAACGAAGACGGCTGGGCGAGGAAGCCATAATGAAACGTCGTGAACGTAGGTTGTGGGAGGCGAATCGAGAGAAGATTCTCTTCGAGTATTCACAGTTCACTTACTACGCGAAAGCCGTGAGTGTGAGGGAGTGCCATTAGTCGCGATCTGTGCGGTTTGTGCTTTCAGAGCGCCCTCTACATGTTCGATTTGGCGTGGAAGCTGAACAAGGACGACAAGGACTTGCTGTGGTACACGATCGTCGCGCTAACCGAGCAGATGATCTTCGAGAAGATCGAGCACACGCAGTACGTATTGGAGACGGGCAATCTGCAGGCGCACGCCACCCGCCTGCTGAACAGGACAAGCGACACCGACAATTTGACCTCTCTGAAGATCGCGTTCGAGAAGGACCTGAAGCTGGTCTTGTACCGGCATTGGTCCATCGAGGCTAGTCTCAAGTATTCGATGTTCACCGCCGTCAAGTTAAAGCTGTGGTCCATTCGGGGCGATAAACGGTTGCACGAGTTGCTTGCGGATATGGGGTAAGTCTCTTCCTCTTTATTATGTTCTCCTAGTAGCACAACACCTTTTGCATAAGATTGTCGACAAGTAACAGGTGTAGTATTAGAAAAAGAAACACCTCCTCGCACTCATATGATCCTGATACAGAATTGGCAAATTTTTAAATCGAATGAAAGCTTTGAAATAATTCTGACAGAGCTAGAAAAAGACCTCTTCGTATATTATGTTCTCCTAGTAGCACGACACCACTTGCATAAGTTTGTCGAAAAGTAACAGGTGTAGTATTAGGAAAAGAAACACCTCCTCCCACTCATATGATCCTGATACAGAATTGGCAAATTTTTAAATCGAATGAAAGCTTTGAAATTATTCTGACAGAGATAGAAAAAGACCTCTTCGTGCATTATGTTCTCCTAGTAGCACGACACCTTTTGCATAAGTTTGTCGACAAGTAACAGGTGTAGTATTAGGAAAAGAAACACCTCCTCGCACTCATATGATCCTGATACAGAATAAGCAAATTTTCAAATCGAATGAAAGCTTTGAAATAATTCTGACAGAGCTAGAAAGAGACCTCTTCGTGTATTATGTTCTCCTAGTAGCACGAAACCTTTTGCATTAGCTTGTTGAAAAGTAACAGGTGTAGTATTAGGAAAAGTAACAGGTGTAGTATTAGGAAAAGAAACACCTCCTCGCACTCATATGATCCTGATACAGAATTGGCAAATGTTTAAATCGAATGAAAGCTTTGAAATAATTCTGACAGAGCTAGAAAAAGACCTCTTCGTACATTATGTTCTTCTAATAGCACGACACCTTTTGCATAAGTTTGTCGACAAGTAACAGGTGTAGTATTAGGAAAAGAAACACCTCCTCGCCCTCATGTGATCCTGATACAGAAATGGCAAATTTTTAAATCGAATGAAAGCTTTGAAATAATTCTGACAGAGCTAAAAAAAGACCTCTTCGTATATTATGTTCTCCTAGTAGCACGACCCCTTTTGCATAAGTTAGTCGACAAGTAACAGGTGTAGTATTAGAAAAAGAAACACCTTCTCGCACTCATATGATCCTGATACAGAATTGGCAAATTTTGAAATCGAATGAAAGCTTTGAAATAATTCTGACAGAGCTAGAAAAAGACCTCTTCGTATATTATGTTCTCCTAGTAGCACAACACCTTTTGCATAAGTTAGTCGACAAGTAACAGGTGTAGTGTTAGAAAAAGAAACACCTTCTCGCACTCATATGATCCTGATACAGAATTGGCAAATTTTCAAATCGAATGAAAGCTTTGAAATAATTCTGACAGAGCTAGAAAAAGACCTCTTCGTATATTATGTTCTCCTAGTAGCACGACACCTTTTGCATAAGTTAGTCGACAAGTAACAGGTGTAGTATTAGAAAAAGAAACACCTTCTCGCACTCATATGATCCTAATACAGAATTGGCAAATTTTCAAATCGAATGAAAGCTTTGAAATAATTCTGACAGAGCTAAAAAAAGACCTCTTCGTATATTATGTTCTCCTAGTAGCACGACCCCTTTTGCATAAGTTAGTCGACAAGTAACAGGTGTAGTATTAGAAAAAGAAACACCTTCTCGCACTCATATGATCCTGATACAGAATTGGCAAATTTTTAAATCGAATGAAAGCTTTGAAATAATTCTGACAGAGCTAGAAAAAGACCTCTTCGTACATTATGTTCTTCTAATAGCACGACACCTTTTGCATAAGTTTGTCGACAAGTAACAGGTGTAGTATTAGGAAAAGAAACACCTCCTCGCCCTCATGTGATCCTGATACAGAAATGGCAAATTTTTAAATCGAATGAAAGCTTTGAAATAATTCTGACAGAGCTAAAAAAAGACCTCTTCGTATATTATGTTCTCCTAGTAGCACGACCCCTTTTGCATAAGTTTTTCGACAAGTAACAGGTGTAGTATTAGGAAAAGAAACACCTTCTCGCACTCATATGATCCTGATACAGAATTGGCAAATTTTTAAATCGAATGAAAGCTTTGAAATAATTCTGACAGAGCTAGAAAAAGACCTCTTCGTATATTATGTTCTCCTAGTAGCACAACACCTTTTGCATAAGTTAGTCGACAAGTAACAGGTGTAGTATTAGGAAAAGAAACACCTCTCGCACTCATATGATCCTGATACAGAATTGGCAAATTTTCAAATCGAATGAAAGCTTTGAAATAATTCTGACAGAGCTAAAAAAAGACCTCTTCGTATATTATGTTCTCCTAGTAGCACGACACCTTTTGCATAAGTTAGTCGACAAGTAACAGGTGTAGTATTAGGAAAAGAAACACCTCCTCGCACTCATATGATCCTGATACAGAATTGGCAAATTTTTAAATCGAATGAAAGTTTTGAAATAATTCTGACAGAGCTAGAAAAAGACCTCTTCGTATATTATGTTCTCCTAGTAGCACGACACCTTTTGCATAAGTTTGTCGACAAGTAACAGGTGTAGTATTAGGAAAAGAAACACCTCCTCAGCCCTCAATGTGATCCTGATACAGAATTGGCAAATTTTCAAATCCAATGAAAGCTTTGAAATAATTCTGACAGAGCTAAAAAAAGACCTCTTCGTATATTATGTTCTCCTAGTAGCACGACACCTTTTGCATAAGTTTGTTCGACAAGTAACAGGTGTAGTATTAGGAAAGAAACACCTCCTCGCACTCATATGATCCTGATACAGAATTGGCAAATTTTTAAATCGAATGAAAGCTTTGAAATAATTCTGACAGAGCTAGAAAAAGACCTCCTCGTACATTATATTCTCCTAGTAGCACAACACCTTTTGTAAAAGTTTGTCGACAAGTAACAGGTGTAGTATTAGGAAAAGAAACACCTCCTCGCAACTCATATGATCCGGATACAGAATGGCAAATTTTTAAATCGAATGAAAGCATTGAAATAATTCTGACAGAGCTAGAAAAAGGCCTCCTCGTACATTATATTCTCCTAGTAGCACAACACCTTTTGCAAAAGTTTGTCGACAAGTAACAGGTGTAGTATTAGGAAAAGAAACACCTCCTCGCACTCATATGATCCTGATACAGAATGGGCAAATTTTTAAATCGAATGAAAGCTTTGAAATAATTCTGACAGAGCTAGAAAAAGACCTCTTCGTATATTATGTTCTCCTAGTAGCACGACACCTTTTGCATAAGTTTGTCGACAAGTAGCAGGTGTGGTATTAGGAAAATAAACACCTCTTCGCACTCATATGATCCTGATACAGAATTGGCAAATTTTTATATCGAATGAAAGCTTTGAAATAATTCTGACAGAGCTAGAAAAAGACCTCTTCGTACATTATATTCTCCTAGTAGCACAACACCTTTTGCATAAGTTTGTCGACAAGTAACAGGTGTAGTATTAAGTTTGTAGACAAGTAACAGGTGTAGTATTTGGAAAAGAAACACCTCCTCGCACTCATATGATCCTGATACAGAATTGGTAAATTTTTAAATCGAAATGAAAGCTTTGAAATAATTCTGACAGAGCTAGAAAAAGACCTCTTCGTATATTATGTTCTCCTAGTAGCACGACACCTTTTGCATTTGTTTGTCGACAAGTACCAGGTGTATTAGGAAAGGAAACACCTCCTCGCACTCATATGATCCTGATACAGAATTGGCAAATTTTTAAATTGAATGAAAGCTTTGAAAAAATTCTGACAGAGCTAGAAAAAGACCTCTTCGTATATTATGTTCTCCTAGTAGCACGACACCTTTTGCATAAGTTTGTCGACAAGTAACAGGTGTAGTATTAGGAAAAGAAACACCTCCTCGCACTCATATGATCCGTATACAGAATGGCAAATTTTTAAATCGAATGAAAGCTTTGAAATAATTCTGACAGAGCTAGAAAAAGACCTCTTCGTATATTATGTTCTCCTAGTAGCACAACACCTTTTGCATAAGTTAGTCGACAAGTAACAGGTGTAGTATTAGGAAAAGAAACACCTCCTCGCCCTCATGTGATCCTGATACAGAATTGGCAAACTTTTAAACCGAATGAAAGCTTTGAAATAATTCTGACAGAGCTAAAAAAAGACCTCTTCGTATATTATGTAGAAATTACATTAAAAATCTAGTATCTGTGAGAGGAAGGAGGGGCACTAATTTCAATCAAATTACGCAGGGGGCATTGGGGAGGTCCCAGGACCCTAAAAAAGCAATGCTGGGGGTCTGGGGAGTATGGACACCCCCGCCCCTCCACCCATACATGTAGTATTTGATTACATTTTCTCAAAAACTCACGTGAGGTTTGTAGAGGAAATAGAGGAAGAATTATCAAGCCTTCCTTTGGCGAGGGTACAGATGGGGTGTACTTTTGGGGGGTATTCCACATCCCTCGAACCCCATGCTACATCTTTCTCCAAAAACGTTTAGTGTTGCCACAGGAAGGAAAGATTCGGCTGTCCTTTTCTAAAAACAAATGATGTGCACAGGATTATCTTATTACCTTCGATACATTTTGATTGTCTAACCTCGTCTTGCTAAAACCTCCTTTACAAGTCAAGGACCTCTCATCGCTTATTTCGAAACGCGCACCTATTAAAACCGTACAAGTTGTTATCGCCTTTTATTTCGACATACTTTTGTTCACGTTCGCTATGAAGCGGTATATGTGTAATATTGAACGTAAAAGCGGCCGGCCGTTACAATAAACGAAAATTTCAATCGGACAGGTTTCCTCTGGTCCAAAGTCGCCAGAACTACCTATCGATGGACTTGCAATTACGCCAGGAATTCCCCAGCGCGATCGAGAAGTTCAGCGAGAAATACGGCTTGGGGGACATCGAATACGCGACGTTCACGATGTCGTACGGTTACAGAAACAAGTACTGCGCCGCCGACGTTGTCTACGGTATGATGACGCTCCTAGAGGCCGTGGTAATTACCCCCCTTTCCTCGTCGCGTGTACTTCAAACCTCTACTTCCAGCACCAGAACAAGAAGATGGAGGAACTGTTTCAGTCCGCGCTCGACTGCCTCTCCAGGTCGCATCGGCACATTCTGAGCGGCGCGATCGAGAAAGCGAAAGGGATCACGATGAGCCTGTTCAAGACGATCCAAGCCGCCTTGGACATGAAGAAGATCATCTCGGCCGGCCCGTTTATTTACTACATCGTTCAGGAGGGCGGCCTCGACTGGTACCTGTTCGCCCACCAGCACATCCTCTCGCTACTGGCGCAATTCATAATTCGCGCGTACGTCGTCATGTCGAGGAATCGCAAGGCGTCCTCCTTACCCCTCATCGTCTCGGCGCCGAAAAGCGTCGAAAACGGCACGTGCATCGTCCTCGGCATTCCTCCCCTATGCGAGAACTCACCGAAAAAGTAAGCGAAACTTTCGCACTAACCCCCCACTTAAAAATCGTAAATTGCAGCTTCTTCGGTAAGGCCTTCGAACAAGCAGCTCAGCGAACAAACTGCGATACCAACTGTGATTATTTCGATACGGCATGTAAGTAACGCGGCGTACGTGCTGCACGAGCCCCTGCTGCTTTCTGTTGCAGATTTCGAAATACCGACCAAGGATAGGACGCACTTTTTGGATGCCCTGACGGCCTTGTTAAGTTAATTAAAAAAAAACTATTCCTGTACAGAGTACAAGATAATTAAATTTGTAATTAGGCTTTAAGTGAGTTGTTAATTACTGGCGAAGTACGATTTGTAAATAAGACGAAAAATAGTTTATAATAAAACACGTTCCGAGTTAAATTTGCACATGTACAGAACGAGAATATAAACCTTGCACAACATTGAGAAATTTGAGGTCCTGGGCTTTTCCGCCGAAAAAACGCACTTAAGCGGCTATTCCACACCTGATGAACCTAATGCGGCTCTAATGCTCACAGGAAAATTTTGTCATCTAACCTCACCGCTTCTAACTAGCACTCTAACCTAACCTCCTCGCACATTATATTATCCTGATACAAGATTGGTCACCTAACCTAACTACCACTCTAATCCTAACCTCACTAATGCATTAACCTAACCTTCGTTCACCTCCTCGCACATTATATTCTCCTGATACAAGATTTCTTACCTAACCTAACTAGCACTCCAACCTAACCTCACTAATGCATTAACCTACCCTTCAATCACCTCCTCGCACATTATATTCTCCTGATTCAAGATTTCTCACCTAACCTAACTACCACTCTAATCCTAAACTCACTAATGCATTAACCTGACTTTCGTTCACCTCCTCGCACATTATATCCTCCTGATACAAGATTTCTTACCTAACCTAACTAGCACTCCAACCTAACCTCACTAATGCATTAACCTAATCTTCAATCACCTCCTCGCACATTATTTTCTCCGGATACAAGATTTCTCACCTAACCTAACTAGCACTCTAACCTAACCTCACTAATGCATTAACCTAACCTTCAATCACCTCCTCTCACATTATATTCTCCTGATACAATATTTCTTACCTAACCTAACTAGCACTCCAACCTAACCTCACTAATGCATTAACCTAACCTTCGTTCACCTCCTCGCACATTATATTCTCCTGATACAAGATTTCTTACCTAACCTAACTAGCACTCCAACCTAACCTCACTAATGCATTAACCTAACCTTCAATCACCTCCTCTCACATTATATTCTCCTGATACAATATTTCTTACCTAACCTAACTAGCACTCTAACCTAACCTCACTAATGCATTAACCTAACCTTCAATCACCTCCTCGCACATTATATTCTCCTGATTCAAGATTTCTCACCTAACCTAACTACCACTCTAATCCTAAACTCACTAATGCATTAACCTGACTTTCGTTCACCTCCTCGCACATTATATCCTCCTGATACAAGATTTCTTACCTAACCTAACTAGCACTCCAACCTAACCTCACTAATGCATTAACCTAATCTTCAATCACCTCCTCGCACATTATTTTCTCCGGATACAAGATTTCTCACCTAACCTAACTAGCACTCTAACCTAACCTCACTAATGCATTAACCTAACCTTCAATCACCTCCTCTCACATTATATTCTCCTGATACAATATTTCTTACCTAACCTAACTAGCACTCCAACCTAATCTCACTAATGCATTAACCTAACCTTCAATCACCTCGCACATTATATTCTCCTGATACAAGATTTCTTACCTAACCTAACTAGCACACTAACCTAACCTCACTAATGCATTAACCTAACCTTCAATCACCTCCTCGCACATTATATTCTCCTGATACAAGATTTCTCACCTAACCTAACTACCACTCTAATCCTAAACTCACTAATGCATTAACCTGACTTTCGTTCACCTCCTCGCACATTATATTCTCCTGATGCAAGATTTTTCACCTAACCTAACTACCACTCTAATCCTAACCTCACTAATATTTAAACTTAACCTTCAATCACCTCCTCGCGCTTTATATTCTCCTGATACAAGATTCGTGAAAATTTTAGACGAAGTAAGGCGTTGAAATTGAAATATTTCTGTGAGAGCCTTTAAAAAAAGGTAATGGGCGAGTACGCTGCGGCTTCAGTAAACCATTTGAGGAGCGCCTGATTGCTATTACTTGGGACAGTCTTCTCTTAGGAACCTTAAAAAGTCTTTCCGGCTACTCTCTAATCTTGTTAGCGCCTTGTAAAGCTTTTCTGGTCACGCCCTCTTCTTTAGACGCCTTCTAAAGCTTTTTTGGCCACGCCCCTTTTTCATAGGCGCCTTGTAAAACTTTTCTGGCCACGCCCTCTTCCTTAGACGCCTTCCAAAGCTTCTCTGACCACGCCCCTTTTTCATAGGCGCCTTGTAAAACTTTTCTGGCCACGCCATCTTCTCTTAAGCGCCTTCTAAAGTTTTTCCAGCCACGCCTTCTTGCCTTATGCGCTTTCTAAAGCTTCTCTGACTACGTTCTTATTCTTAGACGCTTTCTAAAGCTTTCCTAGGTACTCCCTTCTCTTAGGTGCATTGTAAAACTTTTCTGGCCACTCCCTTTTCTCTTAGGCGCCTTCTAAAGCTTTTCTGACCACGCCCTCTTCCTTAGACGCCTTCCAAAGCTTTTCTGGCCACGCCCCTTTTTCATAGGTGCCTTGTAAAACTTTTCTGGTCACGCCTTCTTGCTTATGCGCTTTCTAAAGCTCTTCTGACTACGTTCTCTTAGACGCGTTCTAAAGCTTTCCTAGCCACTCCTCCTTCTCTTAGGTGCATTGTAAAACTTTTCTGACCACGCCCTTTTCTGTTAGGCGCATTCTAAAGCGTTTCTGACCCCGCCCCTTTTCTTAGACGCCTTCTATAAAGTTTTATAGCCACACCCCTTTACTTTAGGCACCTTGTAAAATTTTTATGGCCACTCCCTTTTCTCTTAGGTGCCTTCTAAAGCTTGTCTGACCACGCCCTCTCCCATTGGGCGCGTTCAAAAGCTTTCCCAGGCGCGCCCTTTCCTCTTAGGACGCCTTTAAAGCTTTTCTGACCACGCTCTTGTTCTTAGATGCCTTTCAAATTTCTTCTAGCCACGCCTCCTTCTCTTAGGCGCCTTGTAAGCCACGCCCTTTTCTCTTAGGCGCTTTCTAAAGCTTTACCTGCCATATCATTTTGACTTATGCGCTTTCTAAAGCTTTTCTGACTAGGTTCTCTTTCTTAGACTCCTTCTAAACCTTTTCTAGCCACGCCCCCTTCTCTTAGGCGCCTTGTAAAACTTTAATGGCCACGCTTTTTTCTTTTAGGCGCTTTCCTAAAGCTTTTCTGACCACGCCCTCTCCCCTGAGGCGCGTTCAAAAGCTTTCACAGCTACGCCCTCTTCTCTTAAGCGCCTTCGAAAGCTTTACCGGCCACGTCTTCTTGCCTTATGCGCTTTTAGCTTTTCTGACTATGTTCTTTTTCTTAGACGCTTCCTTAGGTGCCGCGCCCTTTTTCCTTAGGCGCCTTCTAAAGCTTTTATGACCACGCCCTCTTTCATAGACGCCTCCCAAACATTTTCTAGCCACGCCCCCTTCTCTTAAGTGCCTTGTAAAACTTTTTTGGCCACGCCCTTTTCTCAGGCGGTTTCTAAAGCTTTTCTGGCCACACCCTCTCCCCTTAGGCGCGTTCAAAAGCTTTTCCAGTCACGGCATTTTTCCTTAGGCGCCTTCTAAAGCTTTTCTGACCAAGCCCTCTTTCTTAGACGTCGTCTAAAGCTTTTCTTGCCACGCCCCCTTATCACAGGCGCCTTGTAAAAATTTTCTGGCTACACCTGTTTCTTTTAGGCGCCTTCTAAAGCTTTTCTGGCCACGCCATCTCCCCTTAGGCGCGTTCAAAAGCTTTCCCAGCCACGCCCTTTTTTCTTAGGCGCCTTCTAAAGCTTTATCGGCCACGCCATCTTGCCTTATGCGCTTTCTAAAGCTTTTCTGACTACGTTCTCTTTCTTAGACGCTTTATAAAGCTTTCCTAACCACTCCTCCTTCTTTTAGGCGCATTCTAAAGCGTTTCTGACCCCGCCCTCTTTCTTAGACACCTCCTATAAAGTTTTATAGCCACGCCCCTTTCCTTTAGGCACCTTGTAAAATTTTTCTGGCCACGCCCTTTTCGCTTAGGTGCATTCTCAAGCTTGTCTGACCACGCCCTCTCCCATTAGGCGCGTTCAAAAGCTTTCCCAAGTGCGCCCTTTCCTCCTAGGCGCCTTCTAAAGCTTTTCTGACCACGCCCTTTTTCTTAGATGCCTTCTAAATTTTTTCTAGCCACGTCCCCTTCTCTTAGGTGCCTTGTAAGCCACGCCCTTTTCTCTTAGGCGCTTTCTAAAGCTTTACCTGCCATGTCTTTTTGCCTTATGCGCTTTTTAAAGCTTTTCTGACTAGGTTCTCTTTCTTAGACTCCTTCTAAACCTTTTCTAGCCACGCCCCCTTCTCTTAAGTGCCTTGTAAAACTTTTCTGGCCACGCCTTTTTCTCTTAGGCGCTTTCTTAAAGCTTTTCTGACCACGCCTGCTCCCCTGAGGTGCGTTCAAAAGCTTTCACAGCTACGCCCTCTTCTCTTAAACGCCTTCGAAAGCTTTACCGCCCACGACTTCTTGTCTTATGCGCTTTTTATAGCTTTTTTGACTATGTTCTTTTTCTTAGACGCTTCCTAAAGCTTTCCTAGCCACTCTCACTTCTCTTAGGTGCATTGTAAAACTTTTCTGGCCACGCCCTGTTCTCTTAGGCGCCTTTTAAAGCTTTTCTAGCTACGCCCTCTCCCCTTAGGCGCGTTCAAAAGCTTTCCCAGCCACGTCCTATTCTCTTAGGCGCCTTCTAAAGCTTTTCTGACCACGCCCTCTTTTTTATACGCATCCCAAAGATTTTCTAGCCACGCCCCCTTCTCTTAAGTGCTCTGTAAAACATTTCTGGCCACGCCCTTTTCTCTTAGGCGGCTTCTAAAGATTTTCTTGTCACGCCCTCTCACCTTAGGCGCGTTCGAAAGCTTTTCCAGCCACGGTCTTTTTTCTTAGGTGCCTTCTAAAGCTTTTCTGACCACGCCCTCTTTCTTAGACCCCCTCTATAAAGCTTTTCTTGCCACGCCCTCTTATCATAGGCGCCTTGTAAACACCCTTCTTTTAGGCGTCTTCTAAAGCTTTTCTGGCCACGCCATCTCCCCTTAGGCGCGTTCAAAAGCTTTCCCAGCCACGCCCTTTTTCTTAGGCGCCTTCTAAAGCTTTACCGGCCACGCCTTCTTGCTTATGCGCTTTCTAAAGCTCTTCTGACTACGTTCTCTTAGACGCGTTCTAAAGCTTTCCTAGCCACTCCTCCTTCTCTTAGGTGCATTGTAAAACTTTTCTGGCCACGCCCTTTTCTGTTAGGTGCATTCTAAAGCGTTTCTGGCCCCGCCCTTTTTCTTAGACGCCTTCTATAAAGTTTTATAGCCTACCCCTTTACTTTAGGCACCTTGTAAAATTTTTATGGCCACTTCCTTTTCTCTTAGGTGCCTTCTAAACTCGCTTCTAAAGCTTGTCTGACCACGCCCTTTCCCATTGGGCGCGTTAAAAAGCTTTCCCAGGCGCGCCCTTTCCTCTTAGGACGCCTTTAAAGCTTTTCTGACCACGCTCTTTTTCTTAGATGCCTTTCAAATTTTTTCTAGCCACGCCTCCTTCTCTTAGGCGCCTTGTAAGCCACGCCCTTTTCTCTTAGGCGCTTTCTAAAGCTTTTCTGACTAGGTTCTCTTTCCTAGACTCCTTCTAAACCTTTTCTAGCTACTCCCCCCGGCTTTGCACCTCGATGCGTTCGTTGCGCCAAAAACCACCTGCGTCGAACTGCAGGAGAAGCCATCAAGAGGAAATGGCCGCTTGCGCAAGCTGTTCCGGGGCCCACCTCGCCAACTATCGGGGATGTCCAGCTTACCTCGCAGCACAGGCGCACCGAGACAGAAGCACCTGAGCGTTTCTTACGTAGAGAGATCGCCCAACCCCAACCCCTCTACTTCCGAAGACGAGGGCCCCGAATGGCAGTCAGTCAAGAAAAAAAGGAAGACTCCCAACACTCGTAAAAACCAACACGTCGTCACGGCTCACCAATCTTCAGCAGTCTTCACCCGGATTCCGACCCCACCACCAAGACAGATCTCTCCACCAACAACACTACCTGCACAACCGCCCCGCCCCAGCAACCCGTAGAAATCAGCACTCTTCATACCAGCGCCAATTTACATCGTCACTACCTCCCAGCCAACCACCACCCGGCTTCTCCACAGCTACCTTTGGAACCGAACCTGGGAGTGCCACAAGGAGGATGCCTATCGCCAACGTTTTTCAACATGTACGTGAACGACATTCCACAAGTCTCTGGTAACGGAAAATCACCTCCCTCCAAGAGAAAAAAAGCACCCCCTCCCCTCCCCCCATAAGTAGGAAAACAAGAAGAAACAATCAACTCTCCGCCTGCTGAACCAGTTCGTCTTGCCAGCTCGACCTCACGCCACGCTCCACCAGTCCCCATCCGCGCTCACTGGTAATTGTGATTGTGTTTTCAGGTCACTATGATAAAAAAACTCGACTGGTGACAATATCTTTAATTAGTCCAAGATGTGTTTTGAACAAACTTAATTATTTACACTGAATAATCTCGCACTTTGCACTTGTTAATCTGCTTGTTAGTAGGTGCCAAAAGGTTAGGATTGCGATTAGTTACAATTATCAGCGAAACTTCGATTACCCTTAACGGGTTTGTGGCGGTGCTTTGAGAACCTTGGTAATGTCGTTTCTGAAACGTTCAGCGGCGGTCCTCAACACTCCGAAGAAGGTGCCGGCCAACTTCGACGCGTGGTCCCTGGCCTCTGGAGGAGAAGATAAGTTAGCTGTCTCTGATACTTTAAGAGGCACTTACCGGCGAAATGAGGTTCCATTGACTTCCCGAACATTTCGACTTCCTGCATCAATGCGTTGCAGTTGGCCTTAATGGCGGCGCGCACCGCCTCCCCTTTATGGGCGGCATCTACGACTACTCCCTTGACGTAGGCAACTTGAGACGCGACTTTGGCGGATGTTCCCTTGACCAATTTCTCGATGAGCGGTTTGTTTTTGTCAAACTGAATTGAAAACCACATTGAGGGTCTCGGGAGGAAAGTGAGGGTACTTACGTATTCATTGAAGCTGTTGGTTCCCTGCTCGATGGTATCGGCAACGCTTTTGGAGGCGTCCACGAGTGCCTTGTTTACGTTTTCCATACTGGGCAACGAGTTTTTAACGGTCTCGGAGACTTCCTTGCGCATGGTGTCCATGTTTCCGGTAAATTTGTCGAGTTCTCCTTTCTGGAGGACGGAATCAAGAAGGTTGTCCCCGATGAATTGACCGAAGTCAACGTCTTGGGATCTGGGCCTCGCGGAGGCAACCTAAAGGGGTTGTTGTTCGAGAGCAGCTTTGAATAGATCAAGTTGACTTACTTGGAAGGCCAAGGCTGCGACAACAAAATAGGCGAACTTCATCTTGGGGTGTCTGTCTTTTCGGAAAGATCAAGAGTAACAGCGTTCTTGGGCTTTTTATACTTGTGGGGTTTAATCTTCGATAGCGTTATCGTGGAAAGTTTCGTAAGCTCGATATAAAAGCGTCTAAAATTGCCAACATTTTCTTGCATAACACTTCAGGTCATTGTATTGCGGTATAGTCTAATTGTGAAGGCTATATTCCAGAATCAAAAATTAGCGCCTAGATAACTTTTGGCATTGGCATTGAATGTTCGAAATGTGACTCAATATTCAGCATATGAAAGTGAACTTTTAAGGGTCTTCCAAATTCTGAAGCGAAAACCAGATTTCAAAGTTCCACTATTCCTCAAAAAACCAATGCTTTCTGTCTCAAAGGTCTAGCGACACAAAACCCCATGAATTTTTTCGAGGATTCAAATTGAATGCTCAGAAAAGTTCAGGAGCTGGTTGAAACCCGAACGTGACCAAAAAAGTTCAAAAAGGTTCAAAAATCGAATCATCAAGGTTCTCAATGGCCACGATTGAAGAATGTTCAGGAAATTTCTAGAAGGTTCAGAACCGTTTAAATGTTCATTAAAAGGTTTAAGGGAGCTTAAGAGGCTCTTGAGAGATTGATAAGGTTCAAATGAGCCATATTTATTATTTCCACACAACTCGTGGGAATTGTATCGACCGTTATTCAAACAAACCCTTTCTGGGCTCCCGGTCAGAGCGGACCAACAAGCCGGGCCGTATTCAAGACCTGGTAGTGGGCCAGCTCCTATTCGCAAGAGGAATAGGACTGGCGCACAGAAGGCGATGGGTCAAGGGTGCCCTGCGTCAAAGTCTGAGACTGTGTCTGGGTCACCTAGAGGTTCTGGAGCCCCAAAGTTGCGGGTGCACCACGAACCCTTGGGCAAGTCAATGTGGCGGGACTCAGAGTGACCATCTTACCGGTAACACATGCGGAGGTGGACATCACTGAGCCTCAGTAGAGGTGCATTATGGCTGCATTGAATGCAGCTGTTGACGGGATGGAGGGGGAGTCCTTTCCTCAGCTGGCAGGGTTCCGCCACCATCTTGAAGCGCCTGCAGAGGCAAAATCCTGGTTTCAGGATGAGTCTATGGAGGACGTTCTTCCGCAGGGAGGAGCCGGGTTATGCACTCCAGCGGCACATCCTTCAGGTACAGGCGGGGGTCTCTCGCGTCATTTTCGTGACGAAAGCGAGTGTTCCGACTGCGCCAGGTATGAGAAAGAGCTCCAGTGGAGCAGCGGGATCCAGTGCTATTGTGACGGAGGGGAATCAATCCATTGTTATCCACCTTGAAAAGGCGTCGGGACTACCGGCGCCCTCAGAAATCGAGAAAAGATGTCGACCAACGTTGGACTCGTGTGGCGGTTCTTGGCTCCGACCAGGGGGGTCCGTATCGTCGGTATCACTAGGGGAGGGGTGAATTCAGAACATCAGTGATGGACAGGTAACCTTCGTCCATAGAAATTTGGGTTTACATGGTGCCAACTGAACCCTAGGACTTGATAGACGATTCGAGTCATTTCTGTTTGAGGGATTTCATAGCTCTAAGACTTCAGCTGGAAGAAAACGGGACAGGCACTTGGTGGTCTGCTCTGCCTATTACCCGCTCCACCAACCAAGGAGCTGAGTAGTGACATTCAACCACCTCTTCGCACATTATATTCTCCTGATACAAGATTTCTGACCTAACCTCACAAACACTCTATTCTATCCTCACTCGCTTTAACCTAACCATCAATCACCTCCTCGCACATTCACACATCCTGATACAGGATTTCTGACCTAATCTAACCAGCACCCTAACCTAACCTCTCACTTTTACCTAACCTTCAATCACCTCCTCCACGTTATATTCTCCTGATAGAAGATTTCTGACCTAACCTGCCCAGCACTCTAATCTAACCTCACTCACTTTTACCTAACGTTCAATCACCTCCTCGCACATTATATTCTCCTGATACAAGATTTTTGACCTAATCTAACAAACACTCTAACCTAACCTCACTCGTTTCAACTTAACGTTCAATCACGTCCTCGCACATTATATTCTCCCGATACAAAATTTGTAAATATGACGTTGAAAGATGTTTATGGGCGATGAGAAAGGACTTCTACAACCATCATGTTCTCCTGCTAGCCAGACAAATGTTGCAAGGATTTTCTAACACATACTTCGTGTATTAGGAGCAGAAACACCTCCTCGTACATTATATTCTCCTGATACAAAATTTGTAAATCTGTACAACGAAATTTGGTGTTGAAAGGTGTTTGTGGGCAGTGGGAAACGATCTCCACAACCATTATGTTTTCTTGGTAACCAGACAAATTCTACAAGGATTTTCCAACAGATAGTTCATGTATTAGAAGCTGAAACAGCTCCGCGCACATTATATTCTCCTGATACAAAATTTGTAAATCTGTACAACGAAATTTGGCGTTGAAAGGTGTTTGGGGGCAGTGGGAAACGACCTCCACAATCATCATGTTCCCCTGGTAGCCAGACAAATTTTGCAAAGATTTTCTAACAGATAGTTCATGTATTAGAAGCAGAAACAGCTCCTCGCACATTATATTCTCCCGATACAAAATTTGTAAATCTTTACAACGAAATCTGCTGTTGGAAGATGCTTGTGGGTAATGGGAAAAAAATTCCACAACCATCATGTTCTCTTGGTAGTCAGGCAAATTTTACAAGGACCAGAAACACCTCCTCGCACATTATATTCTCCTGATACAAAATTTGTAAGTCCGTAGAACGAAATCTGGCGTTGAAAGGTGTTTGTGGGCAGTGGGAAACGACCTCCACAATCATCATGTTCTATTGGTAGCCACACAAATTCTGCAAAGATTTTCTAACAGATAGTTCATGTATTAGAAGCAGCAACAGCTCCTCGCACATTATATTCTCCTGATATAAAATTTGTAAATCTGTACAACGAAATCTGGCGTTGAAAGGTGTTTGTCGGTGATGAGAAAAGACCTCCACAACCATCATGTTCTCTTGGTAGCCAGACAAATTTTACTAGAATTTTCTAAAGATACTTCGTGTATTAGATGCAGAAACACCTCCTCGCACATTATATTTTCCTGATACAAAATTTGTAAATCTTTAAAACGAAATCTGGTATTGGAAGATGTTTTTGGGTAATGAGAAAAAAACTCTACAACCATCATGTTCTCTTGGTAGTCAGACAAATTTTACAAGGATTTTCTAACAGATAATTCGTGTATTAGGAACAGGAACACCTCTTCGCACATTATATACTCCTGATACAAAATTTGTAAGTATTGGGAACGAAATCTGGCGTTGAAAGATGTTTGTGGGAAACGACCTTCACAATCACCATGTTCTCCTGGTAGCCAGACAAATTCTGCAAAGATTTTCCAACAGATATTCATGTATTAGAAGCAGAAACAGCTCCTCGCACATAATATTCTCCTGATATAAAATTTGTAAATCTTTACAACGAAATCCGGTGTTGGAAGATGTTTGTGGGTAATGGGAAAAAAACTCCACAACCATCATGTTCTCTTGGTAGCCAGACAAATTTTACAAGGATTTTCTAACAGATAATTCGTGTATTAGGACCCGGAACACCTCCTCGCACATTATATACTCCTGATACAAAATTTGTAAGTATTGAGAACGAAATCTGGCGTTGAAAGGTGTTTGTGGGAAACGACCTTCACAATCACCATGTTCTCCTGGTAGCCAGACAAATTCTGCAAAGATTTTCCAACAGATAGTTCATGTATTAGAAGCAGAAACAGCTCCTCGCACATTATATACTCCTGATACAAAATTTGTAAGTATGTAGAACGAATCTGGCGTTGAAAGGTGTTTGTCGGTGATGGGAAAAGACCTCCACAACCATCATGTTCTCTTGGTAGCCAGACAAATTTTACAAGAATTTTCTAAAAGATACTTCGTGTATTAGATGCAGAAACACCTCTTCGCACATTATATTCTCCTGATATAAAATTTGTAAATCTGTACAACGAAATATGGCGTTGAAAGGTGTTTGTGGGTGATGGAAAAGGACCTCCACATTCATCATGTTCTACTAGCCACACAATTTCTGCAAGGATTTTTTAACACATACTTCGTGTATTAGGAGCAGAAACCCCTCCTCGCACATTATATTTTCCTGATACAACATTTGCAAATCTGTACAACGAAAGCTGGCTTCGAAAGGTGTTTGTGGGTGTTGGGAAAAGACCACTGCAACCATCATGTTCTCCTGGTAGCCAGACAAATTCTGGAAGGATTTTTTAACACATACTTCTTGTATTAGGAGCAGAAACACCTCCTGGCGTCATTTGTGGGTGATGGGAAAAGACCTCATCATAGACTCTCGCCTGACCTGGAAAGGGCACATTGCGCAAATAAGCAAAAGGGCCGCTGCACGTCTATGAGCATGTACAAGGGCTTTTGGTTGTCCATGGGGCTTGAACCTTCGACTTGTATAGTATTAAGGTCAATGATACTATATGGTGCATGGCGGCATGTCATGCCTAGGGCAACCTACAGGAAGTATCTAGGAAAGGTTCAGGGACTTGCCTATCTGGGAGTCACTCGAGCCATGAAAACCACGCCAACTTGGACCATGGAGGCACTTCTGGGACTAGGGCAGAGGCTCGGAGGGCTTCCATACGGCTAAACGATTGGGACAAGAGGAAAGATCGAGGCAGCCTTGGGCACCTGGGAGGAAATCCCCAGATCCGATCACATCCTCGCAAGAATGGATGTGATCCGGGCTGTCTTACTAAAACCATAGGGTTATACAATATACAGTCATCCTCCCCTTCCGGATAGGGAACATAGTGGATGCCGGTTCTTCAAACCTGAGGGGCTTGTGTGGTTTACAGATGGGTTCCTAACAGAAAGGGGAACGGGCAGCCTCAACATTTTGAAGATCGAGAAATGTGAAAGGTGATCACAGTTTTTTACGAAGGCTTAAGTAGACTCAGAAAGGCTCAGAAGCCTTCAAAATCACCCTAAAGGTACAATTGATTCCGTAAGATTTAGCACAGTTCGTTTTAAAATCTCTTACATAGCATAATACAGGGTGAGCATAAATTATTGATCGCTTCCATAAGAAATTTTATAACTGATGAGTTTCTTGGAGCTTGTACTGTCATAATTGCAGGTTTATCTTGACCTTCGTATCGCAATTAATGCAATCTGAAATTATTGGCAAATATGTGATCAATTAGATATTTACAAAGCCTAATTACAGCAACGGAGATAAAAAGACAAATACGGCTATTAAGGTGGTTTAAATACCGCTGCCAAGACCAGAAGGTCGTCTCAAGAGGTCCCCGCAAAATGATCCGAGTCGCTACTTTTTCGCTTCTCCTGGTTGCCGTCCAGGTAAGTCAAACCGAAAACCTTACCTTTGCTTTCAATTCGATCATTCAGTACGTCTCCGTCGCGACGTCGTCGCCGTTCCGCGAGGGCGGACTCTTGGACAGAATCCACGATGCGCGACAGGACCTGCACGAGAAAATCGCGAGTAAATTTACGACGACCACGCCAAAGGTAAGCCCTTCTGTTGTGACCCGCCGCCTTCTTGACGATCGCATTACCTTAGCCCATCGAGCTCACGGTCTGGCAGAAGATTGGGGTTAGGGCGACTGAAATGGGGGACGCCGTGAAGAAGTTCGGGGATGACAGCTTGAGGAAGATGCAGGATCTTAAGGCGACCGTTGAAGCTCAGATTCGACGCCTTATGAGAATTTTCGAAAGAATGAGAAGGACCTCCAATTTTCTCACCAAGGTATTTCTTTCTATTGATTTTGGGGGAGTTATATGTTGCTTGTTTCAGATAGTGGACACCGAGGAAAAGTTAGGTTAAGCTTCACGATGCGTTGTACTTAATTGTTAATAAAGTATTTTAGTTCTTTTTGGAAGTGGTTTTTGATTCTTGCAGTTCTCAAAAAATTCTTTGAAAAATGATATGAAAAATTCGTTAGGAGAATATGTAAGGGATACTTTATGAGACTTCTTAAGAAGGGCCTTCCTTTTTTTCGAGGAATGACTCATAATATTTTCCAGAAAGTGCAACGAAAAATCCTCTTAGTGACTTCTTTGGAGATTGATTAAAGACTCTATTTTTCTAGAGACGTTTCGAGATACATTTCAAGATTTGAAACCGTTATTCTCTCCTGATACCACAATTTCATAAAAAAATAGTCACCTTTGTCAGAGTTGGAAAATAAAAACCTTCACGAGTTTTCAGTCTTGATATAAAAGGTACCACTATAAACCCTGCACTGTAACAGGAGAATAGAAGTCCAAAGTGATAAAAGTTAATTGACATGACAGCAGATATACAGGAGGTAGAAATTAATTGGCATAAATATTCATGCTTTCAAAAACATTAAAAACCAGAGAAATTTTCAGGTACAGACTTTTCCATAACCTCATGCTCTCCTGTTATTAAACCATTTTTTTAACAGTAATTAATTATATTTGCAGAAATTTCTCCAACTATTCAAACATGACGCCAAGATACTTTGCATTAACCTTTTTTTTAAAATAATTATCTCTACTCTCCTGATAAATTGTAAATATCATTGGGAGAATAGACATGAATCTTAAAATAGTCGCTACAACTTTATATCCTCCAGATACTCAAATCTATTATAAATATACCCAAAAAACCAAACCGAAAAGGGTCACAAAGCACGAGAAACCAGAAACAGGAGACTGAAACTGAATCATAGATAAAGAAACCGGGGAAAACCGCCAGTCGTCGAGCATGCTCAAACTAAAACGCTAGATATTGGAAACTGAACATGAAAGCTTAAAATTTAAGTCGAAATAGGCAATGGGAAAGAATAACATTTATGTGCTCCTGATACTTTGAGTCATGAGGACCTGCTCGAATTTGTTTTTGTGATCCGGATATAATAGCTTGTAAAAAACTATGTTGACCAGGAGAACATAATGCGGTTTTGTTATCCTGATATATTATCCTCGGAATTATCTCTGAAGAAAATTTACGGTTAAATAGAGAAAGACGTTAGTAGGCGATCTCTCCTGTACGAACCTTACACGTTAGAAAATATTGCGATATTTGCTCCTGCGGTTTGCTTTCAGTCTATCAGGAGCGAGAATCTTGATATACTAGGAGCATAGAAATGAAGACAACTATAAGTCTTTAGATTTCGGGGTTCAACATTTTCCAACGTCTCCAAAGTTTTTTTTTTAATGTTTTGTAGTGCTTTTGGTCGTGAAGGTTCCTGAATGCTTCTTCAAATGCTCAAAGGCTATTTAGACTTTAAAGAGACTAGAGATTTAGAGGTTTTTCCATGACCTTCAAGAAAATTTGAGACATTTTTTAGATGCCCTTCTGCCGATTGTTCAGGAAATTCCTTAAGGTTTTGCTTTTGTCATTCTTCCACAAGTTCCTCAAAAGATTAATCGAGGTGCTCCTCAAGAAATTTTTCAAGGGATTCTTCAGCAAATCTTTTGAGAGGTTTTCCGGGGGACTTTCCAAGAGAGTCTCTCATACTTACCGTTGGATTTAAACTTGAACGATTCCCCACTAGAGGATCTCAGGAATTCTGGATTTTTTCAAAGGCGTACAAGTTCTGAACGACACTTTTATTAAATAAACACTTGAACGTTCTCTCCATTGTTAATGGTGGAGCAGCATCTTTACAATGTCATGGGAAAGGGAGTGCAACCGTTTGATTTTAGCACTCAAAATCTCCATGTGGTTCTTGAAGGCGTCCCCCACGTCACCGCCGGTTTTCGAAATGTCCTCGCCGAAAATCTGCCTGAGAATCACCAGGAGTTCCTTCAGCTTTGAATTGACATCCTTCATGCGAAAGTCTTCGTCGTGATACCTTGGCGTGGTGGTGGTCGTGGTAGCTGTAATGCAGTTCATTGTCGGATCCAAACGAACTGCTTCGGTGGTTTTCACGAAGAACTTGCTGATGGTGTCGATCTCCTCGGAGCTTTTTGATGCACTCGCCGCATCTTCGTTGGACTCCTCCGTGGTGACCTTCTCAGGTGCGCTCGTGGTGTTCGAAATCGAGATGTCAGCAGCCTCTGCAGGTTTACCCAAGTGCGCGAGGAAGTCCTTTATATTAGACGTGGACCTTTGGGTACTCGTCGGAGGAGTTGTTCCGGTCGTGCTCTTCGTGTTATGGAAGAGCGAACCGGCAAAGTTTTGGTTGAAGTCGTGCAGCTTCTTGAGGAGATCAGGAGGCGCAGCCGAAACCATCTGAAAACGCAGTTAGTCTTAGATGATGACTTTAAATAGACTTACGTAGACTAGGAGGATTAAGTGGAAGATCTGACGGAACATGGTGCTGTGCATCCGAAATTGAAGAACGTACGTTATCTATACAATGATGTGCTTATTTATATATTTGGGCAATGTAAATAAGCAATTACTAATTGCTTGAAATACAAATGATTTCTCTTCGATAGATAACAAAGTTGATGGTAAATAAAGAAGTTGGTCTCTGAACCTTAGACCATCGCCTACGACAATTACTTCCAGAAAATATCTCTTTTTCCCTAAGCATTTTTAATACTCAATATATTTTAGAGATTCTCTAGAAGCACCTCAGAGAACTCCTCAATATCTTTTTAACGCCTCGAAGTCGATGTACGATAACCTCCTCCGCAGACACATTTGGAGACACGTCTTCTGCCCATATCGATGTTCTAAAATTCACGAAGATTTAGGAAGGTTCAAAAAATCACCCAGATTTTGGAATGTTTAAACACGTTCCGGAAGCGTCTGAACGATTCCGTAAGGTTCAGGGAGGTTCAAGAAGATTCGGGAATATCCAAGGATACTACGATTAAGTTTTAAAGTTTCAGGAAGATTCGTGAGGATCCAGGAAATTGTGAGAAGGTTTTGATCCCATGGATCTCACCACCACAACCCCCATTTTCCGTAATTCTTCTGTCAGCGCATTTGCCCCATTGTCTCTTTGCATTTGGTATCTTAAATATTTAATTTCTTTTACCTATTTTATTATTTCCCTCATCCATTCCCATTCTATCTTCCATTTATTTCCACCCCCTTCCCAAATCTACATTTAACCCCATTCTTTTTCTTACCCAAGACCTGCCCACATTTCCTTCATCTGTTCTACCTCTCTTGCCATGATTGCTCATTTAAAATATCTTCTCTGTACTTCTTCCAGTTCCTCCCATTTCATCCACCCCCGTATCTCCGTTCCGTAAATTAGCAGTCCCCTCACTATTGCACCGAATAGGCACTTTCTTGATCTCCTCCAATTCCCCACTTGTTTCTTTGCCACCACCCCTTTTATCTTTAATTTTCTTATTTGCGCATTTGTTTGTTTGCATTTGGTATCCTCAATATTTAATTTATTTTACCTCTTCCTCTCTCCATTTCTATTCCCGAAGCCCATTTGTGTTTCCTCCGATATCCTCTTCTCTTCCATTTCTCTTCTAGTCTTCTTTTAAAGATCAGGAGAATTATCCCTTCCTTCCCCTCTTCGGGATAAACCCCCTCCGTTCCATACCTTATTGTTTACTAGATTTTTGATCTTTTCCTTGAGCCAATCTGTGGCTGTGGAATATAATTTTCATGATGCCGTTCTCCATTTTTTTGGTTTGTGTTTGTGTCCTTACCTCCATTTACTTTTGATGTTAAGTTTCCCCTCCAAATCTCGTCCTTTCCTCGCCCGTTCTTTTTCTCTCTGTTCTCACTAATCCTTTGTCTTTGGCACTCCATCTGTACTCTTCATTTTCTACCATTAGTTTTCTGTATCTCCATCTTACTTTCTTGCCCTTTCCTCTTTTCCTTTCCGCAAGCTTTCTAATCTCTCGTACCCTTCTTTCTTCATATCTCAACTCATAACCTCCCTCCTCTTTTCTTTTAGTTACGCGATTACTGCCTTTCTCGCCTATTTTCCATTCGCCTCTGCTTGTAGGTTGTCTGTTAGCCATTCCTCCGTTCTCTCTCTTTTTTTCCATATTTTCTCTTTCCTTTATCTCATTTCCTCCTTTGAGTTTTTTTATACTTTCTCTAAGTCCTTTTTTTTCGTTACCTCTTTTGTTAATATCTGCCCTTAATCCTCCATTTTCCCCCATCAGATTCTCTTTCGTTTCATCTATTCTGCTACTTTGTCTCATTAGCCGCTCTTCTTATTTCCTTCTCTTCTTCTTCCATCAATTTCTCCCTGTTTTCCTCTTCTCTCCTCAATTCGCTCTCTTCCCCTTTCTATTCTGCAAGGGTTGAAGTTGATGGAAAATGACTAGAGATGGAGAATGACGGAAAAGAGAAGAGAGGCAAAAGAGGAAGAGTGGCTCGAAATGTTTAGAAGGAGGTCACAGGAGCAAAGAAAAGCGGAAGCGGTGAGATAAGAGTGAGAGAGCGGAATAGAAAGGGGAAGGGACCGAATTGGGGGAAGGAAAAGAGGAAAACATGGAGAGAGCAATGAAGAAATTGATAAAAGGAGAAAAAGAAGAAATAAGAAAAGCGTCACTAATGAGACAAAGGAGCAAAATAAATAAAACGAAAAAGAAGGGTAGAAGAGGAGAAGAAAAGGTAGAAGAGCGAGTGTGAAAGGGATACAAACAGAAGAAAAGAGAAGGACGAAATAAAAATGGAGAAGGGCAATTATTCTGGAATGTGGCGGGGATAGCTGATAAAGATGCTCAATTCTGGAAAAAGGGAAAAGCAGAAGGGGGTATATTAACAGGGGTAAAAAGGGATAATGAAATGAGGCGAGGAAACGAAAGAGGAGGAATGAATACAGGTTAGATCAGTGGAAGTGGAAGGAAATAAAATGAGAATGATAACGATACACAACGAAATTTTTTTGTTATATGTAGTTAATTATTGTTTTCTCCTTTGTTACACAATTTTAAATATTTCGTTTAAATGAAGTTTTATACTCGGAAAAATAAATAAAATAGAAAATATCGTAGATGTAAGAGAGACGGTGCTAATATCGGGGGGGGGGGGGGAATTAAAGGGAAATGAGTAGAGATGGGAAGAGAGCCACAAGATAGAAAACCAAGAGCGAGAAGCGTTACTGAAATTATTAAAAACGAAAGCTTGGAGATTTTTAAACGGAAATATGGAGGAAGATAAGGAGGGCAATTCATATACATGAAAAGAAGAGGGAATAAGAATAAGGCAGGGTTTCAAATATGTCCGAACCTATTCCAAAGCTTTTTAGGTCCTCTTCAAAGAGGATGCCAACGTCGTTTAGTGGTCTTTGACTTCTTGGGTGCAGGAGTTCTTCTGAAAATCGGGACCTCGAAAGAAGATCTAATGGATTATCAGAAAATCTTGATAGGCGAATCTTTACCATCAAAGGTTTTGGAGTGGAGCGCGAGGTATGCTCGAGGAACCTCAAAGAATTTTTTGGAATAGTTCTCAAAGAGGACCTTACGTTTTAAAGTTGTTCACAGGGTTTCCAATATACAAGAAAATGCACATCTTACACGTTACCTTTGGCTTTCACCTGCAGGTACAACATAACCCTCCTGGTAGGTGGAGCCTCTTCCGAGTCAAATGAGCACCAAGAGCCTGTTCCGTCCTCTTACATCCTTCAGCTGAAGTCCTAGAGCTCTACGAGATCGCTGAACCAGAAATCGGTCATTAGAGCTCGATTTGTCTAAATGCAAGTCCTAGGGTTCAGCTGGCTGTCCCTCTAATAATGAAGAGAGTCCTCCGCCTGGCCCAGACCTTCTACGCGTCCCCCGTAAACCCAAGATTCTTGTATGGGGATTATTGTCTTGGTATTAAAGGGGCCAAAATTGAAGCTACAAAGGCTTGAAGATCAAAAAGATTCAGAAGCGTTAATTTACAACGATTTAAATTAGGTTCAAGAGTCACGATAGCCAAGATCCAAGAAATATTCGGGAAAAATGCAGGAATAGTCATAAAGATTTCGAAAGATTGAAGAAAACACAAAAACAGGTTATATTGCATAATTTTAGAGAAACATAATCTTCAATGGATTCCCGTTGATTTCATGGACACGGTATCACTGTATTTAAATAAATCTTTCGTAACAAAGTTGTTGACTATTATGTTCCGAAACACTATCTTGGGTTTGTTTATAAAACCATGGTACAAGGTTCACTGCTGAGAATATCACACGAATCTGAGTAAGATTTAAACTACGACTCAACTATGAAGTTCTGCGACCTAGAAGACGAGTACAAGAAGAATAAAGATTTGCACGCGGACGACCTCAAATCACTGCAGGGATGGGTTCAGAAGCAATCGCACCTTCCGCCAGTGTCCGGTAGGGATAAGAACCGAAGTTGATGATCATATCTTCAAGGGTCGCTTTTAGATTTACAGTTGGCCATTTTCCTCCACAGCTCCTATTGGAGCATGGAACAGGCCAAGGTCGCAATTGAAAAATTCCTGACCTACAGAGGGGCGTGGCCCGATTTCTTTGCGAATCGAAATCCAAAGGATCCGGCAGTGAAAAACGCCATGAAAGTTACGTAATGTGCTCCCGTCCAGTTTAGCTCTAATGTTAAATGCATGTTGCAGACTGTGCTCCTTTTTTCCGCAACGCACGCATGAGAATTACAAAGTTTTCTACTTCAAGCTGATGGATTTGGACGTCGATAGGTTTTCTTGCAGGGATAGTGTTAAATTGTTCGATATGTGCATAGCGTTGGAGATCATGGAGAAGGGTACCTTCGACGGTTTTGTGATCATTTGCGATTTGCAGGATGCTACGGCCGCACACGTTTTAAAGATCGATATCTCAGCGAGCAGGAGGATTTTGCTATACCTGCAGGTGAAAGCCAAAGGTTACGTGTATGATGTGCAATTTCTTGTATTCAGGAGGCGTTACCTGTCAGATTCAAGAAACTCCACGTCATAACCATGGGAGGACTTACAAACCTGATGATGTCGCTCATAAAACCTTTCATAAAGAAGGAGCTCTCGAGTTTGGTAAGAGCTTCGTCCGGCGCAACTTATGATCTACCGATTTCAGTTGCATTTCCACGACTCCTACGAAGCGTTGTGCAAGTTCGTGCCACAAGAGCTACTTCCCGCTGATCTAGGAGGGAAAAGCCCCACCACCAAGGAGCTCCACGGTGAGCGCGACTTACCATCGTCTACATTAGATCACCTCAGTTTTAGAAAACATGCAGAAGTCGTACACTGAACATGCGGATTTCTTCGTGGAACAGGAAGCATTTGTTTCGAATGAAAGTTTACGGGACCGTCGACCATCCTACATGGATAAAGATTTGGGGATCGGCTTAGGGGGATCTTTCAAGAAACTGGATATAGATTAGTTAAAATTACCACGTGATGCAGATGAAGAATAAAGCCATGTAAAGACTCCTTCGTTTACTCCGTGCATTTTCCAAAAACGTCTTTTCTTTTCTTAGAAAAATGCATGCGGTTTGCTCCTAGATCTTGGGTTACATCTTCAAGAAGCTTTTCGATAGACGTCAAAGGGATTTAATGAAAGATCTTCTTAGAAGAACCGCTGTTTGAATTAGTTTTGAAGAAACTGGCTTGCTGTTTTCCGAAAACCAGGTAATAGCTTTGGAAACCCTGTGAACAACTTTACAACGTAAGGTCCTCCTTGAAAACTATTCCAAAAAATTCCTTGAGGTTCCTCGAGCATACCTCGTGCTCCTCTCGAAAATCTTTGATGGTAAAGATTCGCCTATCAAGATTTTCTGGTAATCCATTAGTTCTTCATTCGAGGTCCCGATTTTCAGAAGAACTTCAGCCCCCAAGAAGTCAAAGACCACTAAACGACGCTGGCCTTCTCCTTGAAGAGGATCTAAGAAGCTTTGGAAGAGGTTCCGACATATTTGGAACTCTGCCTTATTCTTATTCCCTCTTCCTTCCATGTGTGTGAATTGTCCTCCTCATCTTCCTCTATATTTCCGTTTAAAAATCTCCAACCTCTTGTTTTTAATAATTTCAGTAACACTTCTCGCTCTTGGTTTTCCATCTTGTGGTTCTCTTCCCATCTCTACACATCCCCCCCCCTCCGATATTAGCACCACCTCCCTTTCATCTACCATATTTTCTATTTTATTTATTTATTATGCAAGTCCTGCATTCCTTCTCCGTTGTGTATCGTTATCATTCTCATTTTCTTTCCCTTCCACTCATCTGACCTGTATTCCTTCCTCCTCTTTTGTTTCCTCGCCTCATTTCCTTATCCCTGTTTACCCTTGTTAATATACCCCTTTCTGCTTTTCCCTTTTCCCAGAATCATCTTTATCAGCTAGCCCCGCTACACTCCAATATAATTGCCCTTCTCTATTTTTATTTCGTTTTTCTCTTTTCCTCTGTTGTTTGTATCTTTACCCCTTTCACCCTCTCTCCACCTCCACCTTCTCTGGCTCATTTTTACCCTTAACCCTCCAATTTCCTCCATCTTTTTCGCTTTATCTATTTTGTTCCTTTGTCTCATTAGTGCCGCTCTTCTTATTTCTTCCTTTTATCAATTTCTCCATTGCCCTCTCCATGTTTTCCTCTTCTCTTCCCCTCAATTCGCTCCCTTCCCCTTTCTATTCTGCTCTCTCACTCCTATCTCACCGCTTCCGCTTTCCTATGCTCCTGTGTGCTCCTTCTAAACATTTCGAACCACTCTTCCTCTTCTTCTTTTCTCTATTTACTTCTCAGATTCTTTTCCAACCGCGTTATTTAAGGGATGATAGGCGTAGATTGAATGTTAATAAAATACGTCCAAAGGTAGGTATTTTTCTCTTTTCTTCCGTTGTTTGAATCGTTACCCCTTTCACCCTCTCTCCGCCTCTACCTTCTCTTGCTCTTCCCTTCTCTTCATTTCTACCCTTAAACCTCCAATTTCCTCCATCTTCTTTTTCGTTTTATCTATTTTGCTCCTTTGTCTCATTAGTGCCGCTCTTCTTATTTCCTCCTTTTCTCCTTTTATCAATTTCTCCATTGCTCTCTCCATGTTTTTCTCTTCTCCTCCTCTCCATTCGCTCCCTTCCCCTTTCTATTCCGCTCTCTAACTGCTGTCTCTCGCTTCCGCTTTCCTTGGCTCCGTCTAAACATTTCGAACTACTCTTCCTCTTTTGCTTCTTTTCTCTTTTTACTCTCCAGACACACTTTCGACCACGGTGAGAGGGTTTTTCCCGGCAAACCCCAAATTGAACATGCTCCCGTTGTCATTTCTGCCTAAGGGAACCCATTACGATAAAACAAAGTGCTCACTAAATTTGAAGGACCAACAGACAGACGGCAGGGCAGACGGACGAACAGACGCACGGAAAACGCGGTCACAATATCGTATTTTTTTAAATGTTTGTGGAAATGTACTAACAATTGTTGAGGGCGCATAAGGGTTGTGAAGTTAATGGAAAATGACTAAAGGGCTGTTGTGACATGCTTAGTCTTGGTATTGGAAGCGCCAAAATGAGAGGGAAGGGATTCTAAAGGGCCAAAAAAATGTCAACTGTGCATAAGGGTTGAAATTGATGGAAAATAAATATTCTATTCTATTCATAAGGGAAGCCCCACCAGGCAGTACTTAGGCACACTAAAGGCCCGTTCCTCTCAATAAAGGATAGGACCCTGTTTAGCCTAAGTTGCGTCACCCTCCCCTGGTTCCAGATAACTATCGCCAAGATCCCGACTATGTATCTCAGTGGTAGAGCGTTGCCATACATAGTCGACAGGCCGGGTGTTCGAACCTGGGCTGAGGTAAGAATTTTTTATCTGTGGTAGAGATGGGAATTACCCTAGATCAGTTTCGAACATTCTGCCGGCTATGCCGAATTAGGTTTTCCTGCAGTTTTCCTAATTCGTAAAGCTGCAGGGGCACCTCTTTCCGTCTTTTCACCTCCTAGGTAATAGCGAATAAAGCTAATAGCTTTGGACAGCCTGTGAACAACTTTACAACGTAAGGTCCTCCTTGAGAACTATTCCAAAAAATTCCTTGAGTTTCCTCGAGCATACCTCGTGCTCCTCTCGAAAATCTTTGATGGTAAAGATTCGGCTATCAAGATTTTCTGATAATCCATTAGATCTTCTTTCGAGGTCCCGATTTTCAAAAGAACTTCAGCACCACCACTAAACGACGCTGGCCCTCTCTTTGAAGAGGACCTAAAAAGCTTTGGAAGAGGTTCGGACATATTTGGAACCCTGCCTTTTTCTTATTCCCTCTTCTTTCCATGTATGTGAATTGCTCCAATTATCTTCCTCTATATTTCCGTTTAAAAATCTCCAACCTCTCGTTTCTAATAATTTCAGTAACACTTCTCGATCTTGGTTTTCTATCTTGTGGTTGCCCTCCCCCCTCTCCACCGATATTAACACTGCCACCCTTTCATCTACCATTTTTTCTATTTTATTTAATTATTATGTAAGTCCTCCATTCTTTCTCCGTTGTGTATCGTTATCATTCTCATTTTCTTTCCCTCCACTTCTACTGATCTGACCTGTATTCGTTCCTCCTCTTTCGTTTCCTCGCCTCATTTCCTTATCTCTTTTTACCCCCGTTCATATACCCCGCTCTGCTTTTCCCTTTTCCCCAGAATGGAGCATCTTTATCAGCTATCCCCGCCACATTGCAGAATAATTGCTCTTCTCCATTTTTATTTCGTTTTTCTCTTTTCTTCTGTTGTTTGTATCTTCACCCCTTTCACCCTCTCTCTACCTCTACCTTCTCTTGCTTCTGCCTTCTCTTCATTTCTACCCTTAATCCTCCAATTTCCTCCATCTTCTTTTTTGTTTTAATTATTTTGCTCCTTTGTCTCATTAGTGCCGCTCTTCTTATTTCCTCCTTTTCTCCTTTTATCAATTTCTCCATTGCTCTCTCCATGTTTTTCTCTTCTCTTCCCCTCAATTCGCTTCCCACGACCCCTAGCTAATAGCTAAGAAAGCTAATAGCTTTGGAAACCCTGTGAACAAATTTAAAACGTAAGGTCCTCCTTTAGAACTGTTCCAAAAAATTCCTTGAGGTTCCTCGAGCATACCTCGTGCTCCTCTCGAAAACTTTGATGGTAAAGATTCGCTGAAAACTTACTTTTCGGATAATCCATTAGATCTTCTTTCGAGGTCCCGATTTTCAGAAGAACTTCAGCACCCAAGAAGACCACTAAACGACGCCGACATTGGTCTTCTAGTTAGCACGGACGTGTTCCACGAGTGTGGCCATTTCGACGTGGTTGATGGTAGAGAGTGGTAGCGTCAGGCGTAATGTGATCGTAACTAAACTCTTGGAGAAGGAGGACCCATCGGGAAGTGTACTCCGATCGTCCTTGGTTCGATCCAGCCGGAGGAACACTTGACTGTCCTTGCGTAACGTAAATTATCGGCCCAAAAGTTGGGAAGGTCATGGATAGGTCATGGATGTCACCCCCTGCTGGAACCGATCCATCACTATCCGCAGGTGGCCGAGGTGTTCCTCCCATGAGTTCGAATACACCACGATGTCGTCGAGGAATTACACCATGTCAGATTTCCTTAGGATCCTAGGCAGTACCTCCTCAATAATTACCTTCTCAAAGGTGGAAGGTGTGTTCTTTAGTCCGAACGGCATCACCCGAAACTGGTAGCAGGCGCCGTTGGGAGTCGAAAAGGCTGTGTGCGCACGATACTCATGGGCGAGAGAGATCTGTCAGTATCCAGATGACGTCCAGCGTGGAGAACACCTTCGTTGTCCCCAGTTCTCTAAGTATCTCGTAGATAAGTGTTAGAGTGGAGCTTTCGTCTCGAATGCAGCCATTCAACTTGCGGTACTGCACGCAGAAGCGAGCCTTCTTTTGGACAATGACGATTGGAGACGAGTAGCTGGAGCTCGGTTCAATAATGCGGTCGGCCAGCATTGTTTCGACCTCCTGGGAAATGATCGCCCTCTTGGCCCGTGAGTAGCAGAAGGGCGGCAAGCGGAAAGGCGTGGTATTGTGTAACAGAACTTTTGTGCTTCGCTGGCAACGGCATTTTTGGCGAAATATTTCTCCCGGTCATCGAAGAAGGTAGGGTCTTCGAGTGGGACCCCGTAGAAGACGGGAAGGCCGGTGTTGGTTCCCTTCAGTGCTTGGAGTGCGGCTTTGCACCCGACTGCGCGCCACGTTTGATTGGACGAGGCGCTGACCAATAGCAGGCTCGCTTCGTTTGCAGGCTCGTCCGTAACACAGCGAGTATTCTATAATCGGTCCGTGCAGAGCACAGCTGGGGGAAGGACCAATTTCTTAGTTTTTTTTTAATTCTTGTGTTCCCTTTCTGAATATGTAAATTGCGTAACCCTGAAACATCCCCCAGGGGTATCCAGAAACGGATAGCTTAGGCGAATAAACGTTTTAAGTTGATTTTCACTAGGACACTCTTCAAAGCTACTGAGGTAAGGCACAGCCATACAAATTTAGAAGTGTGTACATGTTTACTAGGAATATTACAATGGGAAATTATGTCTTTCATTCCATCGCTGTGCGACTAACGTAATCAACATTCTAATCTAGGTCGAGCTTCTTGAACGATCCACCCGTACCGATTCCCACATCTTCATCCATATAGGGCGGTCGCAGATCACGCAGACTTTCGTTCGAAACGAAACTTTCCTGTTCCACGAAAAAATCCGCATACTCAGTGAACGACTCGTGCATATCATCTAAAATTGAGAAACTCAGTCGGTTGATGGTAGGGGGCGCGCTCACCGTGCAGCTCCTTGGTGGTGGGCCCTTCTCCTCCGAGATCGGCGGGCAGTAATTCTCGTGGTACAAACTTGCACAAAGATTCGATGGAGTCGTGGAAATGCAGCTGAAATTCAGTGATCAGGTACGGAGTCGCGAGGATGCACTTACCAAACGTGCCACTTCTTTGTTTAAGAATGGCTTTACGAGAGCCACTATCAGATTTCTAATTGCGGACGTTGTAATAACATGGATACCCTTTAATCTGACAGGTAACGCCTCCTGCACATAAAAAATGAGCAATGATAAAAAAAGACCTTAACAATGACCTGTAAGTACAACAATATCCTTCTGGAAACCAAGATGTCGCCCTTCAAAGCGTGCCCAATGCTTGCATTGCTTAAGTCACTGATTAAGACAAAACCATCAAATGTGCCTTTCTGCATCAACTCCAGCATCATGCACATATCAAAGACCTTTTGGAAACCGCTCAACGAAAACTTATCGACGTTCGTGTCCATCAATCTGGCGTACAGAATTTTGTAGTTCTCCGCCGTACGAGTTGGTAAAAAAGAGCACAGTCTGCAACAGCACAATAATAACTGACCATAGTTGGAAAACCTTACGCCACATCCATGTTGACTCTGACTTTTGGATCGTTTGGGTTTCGCTCCGCAAAGAAATCGGGCCACGCGCCCCTGTAGGTCAGGAACTTGTCAATCGTGGTCTTCGCCTGCTCCATGCTCCAATGGCAGCTATGGAGGAAAATGGCAAACTGTAGATCTGCAAGAAATCAATCCAGATTGTCACAAATTTCCGATCGTACCCCTACCGGACACGGGCGGAAGGTGCTGCTGCTTCTCGACCCACCCCTGAAGAGATCTCACGTCTTCTACGTGCAAGTCTTTATTCCTCTCGTACTCATCTTCAACGTTAGTAAACCTCATTTTCCCATCTGGCGTAAAGAGTTGCATTTCCATCATGTTCAGATATTAGCTTTATGGCGTAATCATTGTAATAAACCTTGATTTTATCCGTGTGAAGATTAAGGCTATCTCAGGTCTTACACTTTTATCAGAGATTTGTTAATTATACGTCTCAAATTCATATCAAATATTTACATACACTGGGACATACAACTCAATATACACTACCTTTTTTGAGCACCCGAAAAAAAAATTGTCTCAGATCGACCCGGAAAAACAATTTTTTTATAGAATGTTCCCTGTAGAATCCATAATTTCAAACAGTTCAAAAGTTACAGCCCTTTGAATTTTTTTTCGAAATTGGTTTCTGGTCTATAACTTTTGATTGAGAAGTCTGATCGAAAAAGTACGAATTGTTTTGGATTCTACGCACCAAAATTAATAAGAAAAAGGGTTTTCCCGAGAAATTTTGGTGTAGTCGATTTTTGGTAAAAAAGGAAGGTTATACACTGCCTTTTTTTGAGCCCCGAAAAAAAATTTTCTCAGATCGACCCGGAAAAAAAATTTTCTTATAGAATGTGGGCTGTAGAATCCATAATGTCAAACAGTTCCAAGATTGGGCTACTAGTTCAAAAGTTACAGCCCTTTGAATTTTTTTTCGAAATTGGTTTCTAGTCTAAAACTTTTGATTGAGAAGTCTAATCGAAAAAGTACGAATTGTTTTGGATTCTACGCACCAAAATTAATAAGAAAAAGTGTTTTCCGAGAAATTTTGGTGCAGTCGATTTTTGGTAAAAAAGGAAGGTTATACACTGCCTTTTTTTGAGGCCCCGAAAAAAAATTGTCTCAGATCGACCCGGAAAAAAATTTTCTTATAGAATGTGGCCTGTAGAATCCATAATTTCAAACAGTTCCAAGATTGGGATACTAGTTCAAAAGTTACAGCCCTTTGAATTTTTTTTCGAAATTGGTTTCTAGTCTATAACTTTTGATTGAGAAGTCTGAACGAAAAAGTACGAATTGATTCGGATTCTACGCACCCAAATTAATAAGAAAAAGTGTTTTCCCGAGAAATTTTGATGTAGTCGATTTTTGGTAAAAAAGGAAGGTTATACTGCTCAATATGTCAGATCTATCAGAGTTTCTAGATTCTTTTGTTTCTTAGCTTTCTTGGCACTTTTTGGTTTTCAAATTCCCAAATCCCAATCGTTCAACTTTTTCCGGGTTTTCAGGTTCACAAGATTTTCTATGAGATCTTGCAGTTTCCTCTGCTTCTTCGAATTTTCTCAATGCCTTGAAGGGGATTTCTTAGCTACCATAAGTAAGGAGTGGCCTTGTTTTATAGTGCACGGTCGTGTTCGGATATCCACGGGGAAAAAATCCCGATCACGTCCTCGGTCGCTATGTATCATTCCGCATGGTTTAAAAGAATTTTTTTTTGGTACAAACTTCAAATTTAGTTTTCCACAATTCAATCTATCTAAAAAAGACGTAAAACAAACAATTAAAGACAGAAAGGTTTTAATTTAATTAGATATTAGTAATGATTCCAGTAACATTCCTTCAGAACTTTTTGATGAATAGTGCAACACCATACTAGGGTACTGTACCCTACAAACCATCATTATCACCATAAGACCGTGTGTATAAATGAAGGGTTCTATACCCTAGACACCCCGGTGCTACCGAAAACTGTCATAAGAGTGGAGAGGCAGACGGTTTTGATGGAGAATACAACACCAGGGGTTACGGGAGTATAAAATACCCCCTGCTAATGGCCCTTTCACAATCATCATTATCGCCATGAGACACAATTCGTATAAATAAACTCTTCGTGTGCTGGGGGGTATTCCATAGCGCGAAGCGTCATCATATTGACATATTCAGCAAGTATTTACGTGCGAAATAGAAATGTACGCTGTAACTCGAGAAAAGAGTGAAATTTCAAACTGACGATAGAGGGCATGGCAGGTTTTGAATCACGATTATTCGCGGGAATTTAAAAAAAAAGCGCGGGAGTAACCCGGTTGTGAGTTCTGGTCGTGCTAGAATTTCCCGATACTTTTCGGTAATTAGCTCTTAAATATTCCGTGCAGAACGAAGGTCGTGTATCTTCACGTTTCCGTAGAAGGACAAAGAGGTGGTGGTTCTGGCACGCAAAAGGTAACGGACCGAAATGGCGATAACGCGCGGTTCCATCTCTAAAAGGCGAACGGCGAGAACAATTTACTCATAATTTCTGTTTAATTGGCTAAATTACTCTTCGTACACGTCAATTTACCTCTACCGACGAGGCGAAAACGCGCTAAATGACCTATATTTGATCGTTCGAGGTGAAACTTGTTAGTCGCAAACGTTACCGAGAGCAGTGCGCTGGTTTTACGCTCGAAATCGGAACGCGCGCGCGTTTTTCATCGACGCTAGTTCGAAAAAATGTAAGTTTGTTGTGGCAACCTTTTTTTTGGATTACCACCCTTCAATATGGAGTACTAAATTGAAGGTAAGACAATTTCACCCGCTACAAGTGTCACACCTGACACTTACAACGGTTGACCCGCGGTAATTTTTAATTAGCGTCTGAAAATGTGACCGAAACGCGTACTTCCGGCAATTTTGCACTGTAGGGCCAAGACAAAGCGTTAATTAATTCTATAATCATCTAATTACCGGTTGGGTTTTCAATTTTCTGCAAATTTGGGTAACCAAGGCTCGCGTTAATTGCAAGGGGAGCCAAAAGATCGATCACCAAAATGGGGTACCTAAAGGGCAAAATGCTGGGGGGTATGGACCTTTGCCCAAAAACTACCATGACAGTTGATATGGGATAGTGCCATCAGATATTTTGCTGAGTAGTATTCCCCGAGATCCCCCGGTGCTATATTCTCCCCCAAAACGTTCATCATCCCTTACACTGCCGTGTTTGGAAGAAAAGGAAAGATTGATGACACCCTCATAGAAAATTATCGTAAGCATGCTGATTGTCTTAAAAATGTTAAGGGAGGAATCAACCACCCCTTCCCCAAAACTACCAAGACAGTTGCTTTTGGGATAATGTCATCAAGTCTTTGGGTGGGAGTATTCCTCCCAACGTTCAGCATTGGAGATTCGAAACCTGAGGAGTCTTTGGGATCTTCTCTGTGAGATTTGGAGGCATCGGGAGATTTGGATATTTGTGATCTTTAGCTTTTTGTCCTCAGACTAGAAAGTTACCTTTAGCTCCTGTAACAGCTTTTAGGAAGCTGAGACTCCAATATGATTATTTTAGACTCTGAGACTGAGAGACGTTGGAATTATGAGGTTTTGGGATTCTCCGGAACTGTAAACTATGAAAGGTATTTCCGCTCTTCACTATGGGACTGCTATTTTGAGGGCTTGAGACCCCTCTGACCGTTAGACGCCAAGCATTTGAGACGCAGAGACCTTGCAACCAAAACCTAGGAACCTTTGGCCATGATAGGTTGGGACCATGAGGTTTTGAAGCGTTGGACCTTTGAGATTTGCGAAACCATTGGATTCCAAAGCACATAGACTCTGACAGATCGAAGCTGAAAGACCTTAAATGTCGAGGCCTTGAAATTATATTCGTTTAAGCTTTGTAACTGTGAGACCTTTTGTAGTTCTGAGGTATCAAGGCTGGGTTCTCGAGATCTTAAGGTTTCAAATTCACGAAACCTGGAGAGTACCTGGTTATTTTAGCTGCCAAATCTTGGGATTTTATAAGCTTGGATCCTAAAAACCCTGAGAAGTTCTGACCGTAACATTCTGCTATCTAAAACTCGTCATACACCTGATCACTAAGACCCTGAAGGTCCGGGAGTTGGAAACCCTACAACTAACCTTGAAGTGATCATGTGATCATGAGACTATGATGGAAGCTAAGGCTTTGGATCACGCGGAATCTCACAATCCCAGTTGGCCGAGTCTCCCATACCATGGTGAAGTTTAGTGACCCAATGCATCACACATTCAGGATTTTGGTCCCTGGACCCTGAGTTTTAAAGTCTGGAAATGTCTTTGGGGTGTCAGCGTGTCACTGTCTTCATGTCCCAGGGTTTCAGGATATTAATTAGTCTCAACATTTCAAATTTTTGGAGGTCTAGGTTTAGTTATGTTATGAAGGAAATTGGTCCCGATAGGTCACAGAATTTAAGGTCAGTCTCAAAGACGAGATCATAACCTCAGAATCCTAGTACCCCTAGGTGGCACTATCTCTAGGTCCTGTGTTATCCAGGTGAAAACGTGTAAAGTAGTAATGTCTTACATTGTCACAGTCACAAAAAAGGGCCGAGGTGTTGATGGTCCAGGCTCTTGCGACAACGAGGTCTCTCTGAAACTTCGGAATCCTTAAGTCCTAATCTACTAGAGCTTTAAGTCTCCATGGTTTTCAAGGTCTTTAAAGTTTCTAAACCCCCTAAACACTGTACAAGTCTGATTGGTATGGAATACCAAGATAAGAGAAAAACTGGGTGGGTGGGGGGGGGGGTGCGGGGGGGGTTATATATCTCCCACACCTCCCGGTATTATTTTCTCCCATGACAGCATGACAGTTGCTTTGGGATAGTGTCATTAAATCTTGTTCTGGGGGGGGGGGGAGGGGGGTATCCTATACCCCCCAGCTCAGAAAGAATCCACAACCTTTTCCTAAAAACTACAATGACAGTTGCCCTTGGGATAGTATCATCAAATATTTTTCTGGGAGGTATTCTATACCCTCTAGACACTCCGGTGCTATGGCTCCCCTTAGAACTCTCATGTCTGAAATATCTCCAAGAAAAGGAAAATGTGATGACGCGTGCTCGTTATTCTAACAATTTTAGGGAGGAATGAATCTGGGAAGAATTCCGTACCCTCCAGCTCAAAATAAATCAATTACCTTTTCCTAAAAACTACCATAACAGCTGCTTTTGGAGTAGGATCATCAGACCCCCCACTTCACACCACCCTGGTGACATGTTCTATCCTAAAACCAGTATGTCATCAAACGTTAAATCAAGAAGTCGTTGAAAATAAAAACAATTTAACTTTTAACTTTGGATGGCAACCTTCTGAGCTCAAATGGGCGCGTTCTGCAAATCTGTTACAGACAATAATTCAACAAACAAATAAAAGGGGTAGAGAATCGCGCGGCACATAAAATATTGCGAAATTGCATTGCTAACGTCTGACACGGATGCAATCGTATATTAAATCTGTATTTAATATTCAATACGAATCAATAATACGAATACACTAACAGAAACAAAATTTTAATCAACCATGGGTTATCCTTAGATCTGTATAAAAGCATAAGCTTTACGTTAAATTCAAGAAAAAAACTTTACGATGCACAAATATCTAAATTTCCATTGCTCTAATCAATTCAAAACAGAATGAATCTGCATAGCAATCGGAAAGTAACGAAGACAAAAGCGGGTCTTGATATCGGTAACGTCAGGTCTTCGGTAGCGACAAAAACAACATGCGTAGGGATCGAAACTATCGGAGCGATTCCAAAAGGCGATTTCATTATACTTGCAGTTACAAGCAGCATCCTGAATCTCCAGGTATACACTTGCAGTAGGCAAATGGCGGGTGATTCTGCCAAGTCGGTAATGTAGAAACTCATCTATCGCGTACGTTCGTCACTGTCGATCTTATTAAAATGGGCGGGTTCAAGTAAAAATTGCAATATCATCAGTAATCCAAAGGAAAAGCTTAAGAGAAACAAGGATAGAACTTTGAGTGCATTGAGTGAACGTAAAACCTGAAAAAAATATACGTGATTAGAAAAAATGCTACGTAATCATGTAACATCCCTGGTATTGTTCAAAAGCAAACACGTTTCAATGGAGCCACCACAGACATCAAAGAGAGAAAGAGAAACTACTTCAAAGATAAGTATGGTAAATCCAAAACAAAAGTCTTTGTGCAGGTAAACGCGAAGTCAGAAAGGTAAGGGCGTACCGAGAGAAAACGTTTATTAAATACCCCCAGCTTCATACCTCCAGCTCAGAAGAAATCAAGTACCTTTCAAAAACTATCATCTATCTACTATTAACTTTAGGGATGCTTGCAGACTTCCTTTGAGGGTTTTTCCAAGATATTCTTCTACGGAGACTCTCCTGAATATACCCTCAAGAAGACCTTAAAAGTACTCCAAAAGCACGTGAAAGGGTTTAAAAGGTGATAAAGAAAGGCTCAAGAGAGCTTCTGGAGAAGAATAAGAAATGTAAGCTTTAGACAATTTCAAGTGAACCTCAAGTAATTCAAGAGGATTCCAGGCCAACTTCAAATGAACTTTATGAAGACTTTAAGGAAAGATCAAAAAGATCTTTAAGGGGCCCTAAATTTAACATCTTGGTCATTTTGCTTCAAACGTCCACAGAACGTACAAATTTTGACCGAAATAGGTACTCTTTCCGCCTCAGAAGATTTCCACAACCTACACACTTAACTCGGACAAATTATATCAGACTAACGTTCTGGTGAAAGGTCTACTAATTATGTAAAGCAACTGAAGTGTTTTAATTGAAACGGTTATAACTCGAAACGCGTGCCACGCATTTAGAAAACTGGTCTCGTGACCCCAAAGGTTACGCGAAAATGTGTGTCAAATTTGGGCACCTACGACAAAACCAGTGTGATATAACACACTTTCCAAATTACGCGCGTGAAAGGAGCGGACCAGAGAAAAAAAGTAGAATTCTCTCATCATTAAAGAAACGCAAATAATAAATATAGAAAACAAAGTATAGTAATCTTCGTTAACCCATTTCTCGTTTCGTTACACTATCCGGCACTGAGCATGAAATTGATTTTTATAGCGCACGCGCTAATTTGATCCGTATCCGGATTGATCGAAGAAGAAGAAGAGCAGCTTTTGGATAAAAGCGACGCTTTTGCACGGAATTCGAAATTGGTCACAAGTGAGCGGCCACAAATTCGTGTCAGTAATTCGCCGTCGTAAATTCGTGCATATTTGTGAAGCGAATGGGTAATTTATTTAAAATCCTTGGGCTCCTATTGATTCGCACATAGTTGTCAACGCGCGTAATTGCCTTTACATAATTGACCTTCCTGAAAATTAGTCGATTATGGCATTTACAATTTTTACTCTTTTTTTATGTTCATCTCACCTTATGTGCACAAGGATAAGCACAATGTACTTCTGTGGACTGAATTTGTACGTTCCATGTACGCTTGTGTACCTCTAACTTTGTTCTTCTTAAGTAGGTGCATGTGTACTACACGAAACGTACAAGAAACGTAGGTACGTGGACTAAAATTGTACGTTCAGTGGACGATCGTACTCGTTAGATAGGAACGTTGCACGTGCAGGGATAAGCACCATGAACATCTGTGGACTAAATCTGTACGTTCCACGTACCTATACTCTACTTGGGCAGATCAATTCACAGTAAGCTCAAACCATGACGATGAACCACCTCTGTGGGAAGATTAGTACGTTCTATGGATCTACCGGTAACATCCACATGACCACCGAATGTAAGCCTTTCCAGG